ACGGGGTAAGGGATTGCCGAAGTGTGTTTGGGGGCTTCGAATCAGAGGTTTAGGTTTTGTGGATTTGTGGATGTCGCAGGTTTAGATGATGGTCTAGGGGTCGAGGGTTCTTCTCAGTTCTCGGCTCGATTTCCAAGGTTGGTTGAACGTCTCTAGAGAAGCTGCTGCGGCGCGCAAGCTGCCATCCTAAACCCTAAACCCTGAACCCTGAACCCTGAACCCTGAACCCTGAACCCTGAACCCTGAACCCTGAACCCTGAACCCTGAACCCTAAACCCTAAACCCTAGACCCTAAACCCTAAACCCTAAACCCTAAACCCTAAACCCTACCCTGTTGCGCTGGGACATGGCTTTCTTGCAGCAAGGCAGCCCAAAGGGAAGAAGCCCAAGCAGCTGCCGCCTCCGGTTTCGAAGGATGGGCCTGGATGCTACGGGTAGGGAGAGCCGAAAGAGGTCGTTCAGGCGTGTGGTACTGCTTTCGCAAATGTACCCTAAACCCTAAACCCTAAACCCGAAACCCTAAACCCTAAACCCTAAACCCTGGGGTCGCTTATAGGGGTCCCTCCTTTAGTCCCTTGAAACATGCGGAGGACAAGCCTTCCTCAGTGAGCTCCCGAGGCTCAACTCCGCCGGCACAGGCTGACGATGTGTCCATGAACTTGAGGCTCTAAACCCTAAACCCTAAACCCTAAACCCTAAACCCTAAACCCTAAACCCTAAACCCTAAACCCTAAACCCTAAACCCTAAACCCTAAACCCTAAACCCTAAACCCGAAACCCGAAACCCGAAAACCCTAAACCCTAAACCCTAAACCCTGAACCTTCAGGATCTATAGTGCCTGGCAGGCGAAGCGAGGGTCCCTGACGTCCTCTCAGGCGCATCTTAGGGCAAGTGACCTATGCCTGCCAAACCTGCCTCCTGACCCCGAACCCCCCCATTAAAGCCCTAAACCCCAAACCCCGAACCCTAAAGCCGAAACCCTAAACCCTAAACCCTAAACCCTAAACCCTAAGCCCTAAACGCTAAACCCTAAACGCGAAACCCTAAACCCGAAACCCTAAACGCAAGCCTCAGCAAGCCCCAAAAGCATCCCGTGAAGCCCTGCATGGTCCAACCTTTTGCGTGCCCTTTGCGAGGGCAAGCGCGGCTCCCTGGCCTCTACAGCGTCGAAGGCCTTAGAAGGGTTTAGGGTTTAGGGTTTAGGGTTTAGGGTTTAGGGTTTCGGGACGGTGAAGGTGGTCCAGGCAGTGTGAATATAATGTAAAGTACGGTGCAGAATCTATGTGGTATAGAACATGGAAAAGTAACAATGTATGAGATTCACTACTTAGTGCAGAACATAGAATGTAAAATAAGAAAAGCAAAACACTAAACGTGTATGTATACATATACACATATACATATCTATATATATATATATATATACACATGTATATCGATATATCTGTATACAAATAGTAGTAAAGATCGTTCTTGTTATATACATACATAGATAGAATTATAAGATATAAGACGCAACAGATAATCATACACACAGGTGTAGTATTTAGTATGGCAGCTTTGGCGTTGCTGCCACAGGGAAAGCGCTTCTCGGCTGGTTCGTCTCAGCAGCTGGAGGCCCACAACGCTTTGTGGTGCTTCCCTGGCTCGGGGACGAAAGGGTTTAGGGTTTAGGGTTTTAGGGTTTAGGGTTTAGGGTTTAGGGTTTAGGGCCTTTTCTGACAGTGGTTTCATCGCCGTGCAGGGGACTCTCCAAGACCCCCTGACAGAAAGCACGGAAAGAGGTAGGAACCCGTGTTTTTTTGTTGTGGGTGCTTTTTTGCTGTGGATGTTTTTCTTTTCCGGGCCGCACTCCGTGAGTGAGTGACCTGGCGCGCGGTGCCCCCGCACCCGCAGCAAAAAAAAGGCGCCCCCGCGCCCGCAGCAAAAAGAAGGCGCCCCCCGCACCTGCAGCAAAACGAAAAACGCGCCCTCTCCTGCGGGCGTTGTTTCCGGGGCCGCGGACGGTGAGTGAGTGACCTGCATGGCGCGCCCCAACACCCCCGCTTTTTTAAGCCGGGCAAGCTTGATTCAAAGCATACGAATCCCATCCAAACCCATGATACCAGCATGGTGTTTGCAAATGCGGGGCTGCGCCGGCCCCAACCCCCCCAACCCCCCCCAACCCCCCCCAACACCCCCCAACCCCTCCCAACCCCTCCCAACCCCCCCCAACCCCCCCCAACCCCTCCCAACCCCTCCCAACCCCCCCAACCCTCCAAACCCCCCCCAAACCCCCCCCAACCCCCCCAACCCCCCCCCCCCCCCAACCCCCCCCAACCCCCCCGCTTTTTTAGCCGGGCAAGCTTGCTTCAAAGCACACCAATCCCTTTCAAACCCATGAGCGAGCATTGTGTTTGCAAATCGGATAAATCGGGGAGACTGCGCACCCCCCAAGCCCCCCATGAAACACATGAGGAATATGTAATGCTTCCTACAAAAAACTCAGAAAATTAGTCGAAGGTGAGTTTTTCCGATTCGAAATAGAGATATAGGCAGAAAATTGAGCTTGTGTTATGACAATATGGAAACCATGGAGCGAAAGTACTTGTTGTTTGCGAGTCACAGATAGAGATAATGCATATACTCTTATGAACATGTGGAGAATGAGCTTCTGGTGTATTCCTCTTGCATGTCTTCCTCATGAAATAAGATAAGAAGTCTGACAGATGGAGGTTTTCGTTCTAAAATAGAGGTTTTCTGATGAAGATAACAAGAAAATAGAGGCTTTCATATCAAAATATGGACAAAATAAGGGTGTTCCCATTAAAGCATAGAGAAGAGAGAGAGAGGTTTTCATGTTCAAATACAGAGAAACAGAGGTTTTCCTTCTACAATACAGAGAAAATAATTGTTTGCCTATTCAAATAGGACAAGAGGAACAAAATACTTTCAATTGCAATTCACATAGAGATCAGTTTCTCATGTATTTCTCTCTCATGTCTTCCACATTGAATTTAGAGGAACGATGACAATGTAGACAAAGCAGGGAAAAGTAGAGATTTTCGTTCATCTGCAATAGAGAAATAGAGGGTTCGAATTATAAAGTAGAGAGAAATTAGAAAAAGTAGAGGTTTTCATATTCAAATGTAGAAAAAAGAGGTTTTCACATCCAAATACACAGAAGAAAGAAGTTTTCCTATCAAAATACAGGAAAGTAGAGGTTTCACATTACAATATATACAAAACAGCAAAGAAACGCCCCCACACCCGCAGCAAAAAAGAAAACACGCCCCCGCACCCGCAGCAAAAAAAAAGAAAAGCGCCCCCACCGCACCCGCAGCAAAAGGAAATCGCGGCCCGCACCAGCCGTGCTCCCCTGCATCATTTCCCTATACAGAAACTTGGATATGCTTCCTGTCCAGCTGGCTATCCAGCAGGACGGACTGGAAGAGCTGGTTGGCTTATTCACTTCTTCTTCTTCTTCATCCCTGCTGCGGTTGTTTCTTCCAGCATCTGCTGGACTTGTCTGGTCCAGTATCGTCCATACCATCGTGCTCTCCGATCCCTCTTTCCCTCCCTGCCTCCCTCCCTCCCTCTTTCCGGTAAGAGTGTTTTTTTTTGTTGCGGGTGCTTTTTTGTTGCGGGTGCGTTTTTTTTTTTTTTCTTTTTTCCGCGGGTGCGGGGGCGCTTTTTTGGTGCGGGTGGAGCCAATGCAATCCCATCCACGACCATGGGCAATGAAGGAGGGCGACACAACCTGGCGCACAAGATGTTAACATCTTGATAGTTTCATTCCGAAGAAATTGCCCCGCAGTTGTCGCTTCCGGTGAGCCAGGAGAAGCCTTCGACCCCCTCCAGGTCATCAAAGGCCAGCGCCGTGCAAGCTGTTTATTGTTTTAAATGTATTTTGACATCGCACGGATCGGGCCATGGCCTGGCAAGGAGAAGCCTACATCTCCAGCTGCAGCGTCCCAGGCTCACAGGGATCATTTGCACCGGGGGGGCTTGCGGCGTCTGCACTTCAGGAAAGAAGCTTGCACAGAATCTGCTTCATGTGTGCAGAGCATGTCGCCCACAATGCAGGACAGCGTGGCAGACCTAGCAGAGGACGCACGATGCCCACACCCCCTTGAAGAGGCAACCTTTTGGCTGTTGTGTCCGATACTCCTGAAAACCTACAGCCTACAGACTCTAGAAGGTCTTCTGAATCGCCAGCGGAGCCACGGAGTCTTTTTTGGGACTTTCAGGAGCTTTTTGCGGAACCAACTCGGGAGCCAGAGCAGGTGCCGGGTGAGTCGCTAGAATTGAGGACTTGGTTTTGCTATTCGAGTTGCATGATCTTCTCCCACACCTTTATGTTCTTTACTCTGGGTCTCTGAAAGCAGATGTCCGTGCGACTGTCCAGCTTTGCAGGCTGACGACGGAGAAGCTTCTCCAGAACCTCCTGAGGAGGCTTCAGTGCAGTTATGTGCAGTTGGAAGGCTTCAGGTATTCGTAGCGCCCAAGTCCCGAGCCCTAAGCCGCCCAGGACACGCAGCCAGGCCTCACAGATGGGGAGGAGGAGGGGGAGGAAGGCCAGCTCAACATGGGATTGTACCAGAGCCCTTGCATGAGTTCGTTTCAGGATCCGTTTTGCAAGGAAGCCACTCATCGAAAGTTCTTCTGCAGTGGGACCCGTATTTCGAATAGGTAGGGTTTAGGGATTTTGGGAGCATTTACGATGTTGCCGGGCATTTGGCGGACCTGCTCCTGACAAGGTGAGGTCCGACGACCCTTGCCTGAGGACTTTGTGAGACTACATGGTAACATTCATGTGAAGCTGTCCTGAGAGAGGCATCTTTTGAGCTTGCATGCACCTGTCCTGTCGCACAGATGTTGCATTGGCCCTTCTGAGACTGTGTTGAACTGGCTGGTGATCGTTGAATGTCTTGTCGCTGCAGAAGTTCATGCAGAGTGGTTCGCAGTAGAGTGTCTCACAGGTTTTTAGCCCAGCTCTCTGCACTCTTTGCATGCGAAGGACCTCGGTCACCGCGCCGGCTTCGACGCGGTGCGCCGTGTGAATGGTTCTGTGGACCTTGTCTTGGGGGGCAGATGGTCTCGCAGACTTCGCTTGTGGCCATAACCGTTGGGATGGGACCCGTTGCATGAGCCCCTGAGGTGGCTGATGGACGTCTGGAGGATGCCATGGCCCTGGTGACGCTCCCAATGTGGCCTTTCACGAACGAGCTCGTGAGAGCCTCAGAGCTCGGCCTAATCAGTATGCCGCAGTATGCCTCAGTATGCCGCAATATCTACACATATCTGCACATATCTGCACATATCTGCACTTGTTCTTGCCATGCACGTCCTGCACCAAGAACGCTCGCGGCTGGACGCTGCTCCATGTGGCGGCACATGGAGGCTTCGAGGAGCGACGCCTTTTCCAGCAGCAGTCAACCAGGAACAGTGTAATTTTACTGTATGAATTAGAGTGATTCGAAGCACAACTTGACAGCCAGCATCGTCGCTTCTGAGCCGAGAACAGGAGCTCTGCGCAGCGCTCTGCCAGAGGAAAGACTTCCTGAACGTTGATATGCCGGACAAGGCTGGGTGTAGTTGAAATGTCTGCACGCAAGCAAGGCTTTGCTTAGGGAGAATTCTTGCCGATGCTCTTGGCAGGAGTTCTGGGCCACGCCACTGCACCTGGCAGCGGGGAAGCGACGCTGCATTCTTAGAGTAGACGCTGCAGCGGGAACCGGTGTGTTGCAGAAGGAACTTTGTGTCGGGAACCGTGCTCGAGCCAGTAACGGAAACCACACGCAGCTGTAATGGGAGCCAAGTACACCTGTAACGCTGACGTCAACCACGGAAGGTTGTAACAGGAACTCGTGGCCCCCACATCAAGGATAGTAGGGTAATCAGCACTGTGTATAGTGACCTGCAATGACCGCAGTGCGCTGAGATCAGATTGATCATATGCCCCAATCGGGGCACTTAAGCGCCTCTTTGGGGGCTTGAGCACATGTCCGATTGCAATTTCCAACAGTTCCTCCTTCTGGGGTGGTTTCTGTAACTCGACTGCTGTCCGCTGCCTGTTGTGTTTACGACCCACACGACAGGGGTAAGCAACGGCTTTCGGCTTCCGAGGCCCCGATTGCTGCCACGCGATTGTGCAAAGCGGCCGTTGCATGAAGGCGAAGTTGCTTTCAGCTCCTCATGCCCGGTTTTTCACGGCCTTTCTGAGACTCGGGTGTGGGCAGTGGGCTGAATTAATTGTAAACGCTTGTGCGCGCCGCCTCGGCAGCCGGGCCGGCCAGGACAGGAAAGGAGGGAGGGTTTCGCAAAAAAAGGGGAGGAAGGGCAGCGAGGTCAAAGCGGGGAGGGGGTGGGGGGGGGGGGTGGGGGGGGTGGGGGGGTTCCCACAGGGCCGGGGGGGGGGGGGGGGGTGGGGGAACGCTTGGGTTAGGGGGAAGGAGGCCCGATCCGGGTCTGCTTGTTCCAGACGCTTCTCGGCAGGAAGCCGAGGCGAACAAGGGCAACAAGGGGGTGCTCAATCATGGAACCAGTTGCGACTTCAAACCCTCAACCCTGGAGCCCATGGCTCCACCTGAAGTGGCTTTAAACCCGGAACCCCCATCTCCATTCTTCTTGTGACACATGTCACAACATTTCACAACCAACCTTCTTGGGCCCCGCCCCACATCTCTTGGTTTTGAATCACTGGGCCCAGCACCCCGAAAGCCCTCAGTCGCAGCCCTATTTTCCTAAACCCTAAACCCTAAACCCCTAAACCCCTAAACCCCTAAAACCCCTAAACCCTAAACCCCCTAAACCCCTAAACCCCTAAAACCCCTAAACCCCTAAACCCCTAAACCCCTAAACCCCCCTAACCCCTAAAACCCCTAAACTAAACCTAAACCCTAAACCCCTAAACCCTAAACCCCTAAACCCCTAAACCCCTAAACCCCTAAACCCCTAAACCCCTAAACCCCTAAACCCCTAAACCCCTAAACCCCTAAACCCCTAAACCCCTAAACCCCTAAACCCTAAACCCTAAACCCTAAGCCTAAAAGAGTCAGGTGAATGCGACAGACCTGAATGGACAGACGCCGCTGCACCTAGCAGCACTCCGCGGAGACGAGCAGCCAGGGACCTATGAGGGCCTAAGTGTCGAACGGCTCAGGGTTTGACGGCCTATAAGTAAGTGTCGAAAGGCTCGTAAAACCCTGAGGCTTTTGAGGGTCTTGTGGAAGGGAGTTGAGTGGTTTCAGTTTCGTCCTGAAGGGTGGCTCGGGCCATCTTGAAGCCATCTTCATGTCATGTTGGCCAACCTGAGTTGTTGCAAGCACGCTTGGAAAAGTTGCTGTTCATGCTGAGCCCTTTCCGTGAGTCAGCAACCTGCCACATGTCGGAACCCTAAATCCACGAAGCCTCTGGGTGTCCCAGAGTACCCTAAACCCTAAACCCTAAACCCTAAGGTCCTACATGGCCATCGCAGCACATCCCGATTGCGACCCTCTGCTTCCCGACAAGCATGGCAGGCGGCATGGCCACTGTTCGCTGTTCGCTCTCAAACGCTGGAAGCAGGAGCAGAAGCAGCATATGGCTAATATATATATATATACATATATTTGTATATATATTTGTATATATATATATATATATATATATATAATATGTATATATATATATATATACAAAACTATATATATATATATATATATATATATATATATATATATATATATATATATATTTTGTACAAAGCAGAGGGAGTCAGAGAGACCATGAAGGCAAGATTCTTTCTCGGGGGGTGGGGGGTTCTGCAAGATGGCAATGCCAGGTCCCCTTGCGAGTATGCAGCCACACGCGGGCTGAAGGCGCCTTGCTCGAACGCACCGTGCAGTGAGACCTCTCCCTTCCACTGAGCCATTAGGGTTTAGGGTTTAGGGTTTAGTGTTTAGGGTTTAGGGTTTAGGGTTTAGGGTTTAGGGACCCTAAACCCTAAACCCTGGAGACACGTGGGGAAGAGTGCTTGTCTGTGTGCTCTTGCAATCCCCCTTTGTTTGGGAGGTGGAGTGTGACGTTCCAGGAGAGGGCTCTTTGAAAACATGTTGCTCCGGCGGCCAGATTCGCTAACAGCCCGCCTTCCTTGTTCAGTCGGGGATTTCGGGGTGCTCTTGCCTGCCAGGACATGAAGAGATTGATCTGTAGGCCGAGGCAGTTAGGACGATGTTTTCTTCTGCTTTGGGCTGTTGACTGTGCCTGAGTCCAGAAGCCATGTTAAATGCAGTGCAGCCCCGCCAACCAAGCAATCCAAGCAACAGCTGTTGCGCTCCTGGGGGCATGTTGCACCAAGCGAAAGCAGAAGTGAACCCAGAATTCGGTGCTTGTCCACCGTGCACGCGAGGTGCTTGTGCACCTTTGCGAGAGAAGGTCGAACCCAGCCCTGCTGTACTGATCAAGAACCTGAGTCTTTCTCATGTTCTGCTTCATGAAAGAGATGGCAACTGTTTTTGCCTGGCTTCCCCTAGAGCAGCCTGAAGCAGGGCGCTCGTAAGAAAACCTGGCAGTTGAAGGCAGGCCAGGGCTGTGTGCTAATGCGCCGCCAGTGAAAGGTTCGTCTTCCATCCAGCTGTTCTTACAGACCTGTATGCCTGTATGCAGTAACCCCCGAGCCCTCTTCGAAGTGTATCGATGTTGATGTGGTAAGCGCGGACCCCTTGCATGGCCCATGAGCAGCTGTCAGCCGAAGCTTCAGCAGCGACCCGATGACTCCTTGCGCTTTCCTGTCACATGGACAACAACTGGAGAAATGCAGAGGGGACAGTTTGCGTGGTGGTCTCTGATTGGGTGGACTTGGCATGCTGCCTTGCATTCTGCCTTCTCTGCAGCTTCTTTATGAGCAGACCGCAGGATTAGAGGTTGAATGAGCACTTCTTAACCAGAGCTGAAGCCACAGCGCGCAGTCACTTGATGCTCCTGAGCCATCCCCCCACCCAACCTTTGAAAACACAACCCACAAGACGTCGTTCCCTTCGAGCGGGAGGCTTAGCCCCAACCCTCCACCCCGGTAACCCTAAAGTGTCTCCTGTGTAGGCTCGGAGCTGCAAATGGCCAAGGGGAAGCCATGGAGGAGCCACTCTTCTTCACGGTGACCTCCAGTGAGGATCCGGAGAGCCCGCTGCACTTTCAGCTGAGCACCTCGGACTCCCATCCTCGCCCGGGCGCGCATTTTCGGGTTAGGGTTTAGAGTTTAGGGTGTTTTGGGTGTTTAGGCTTTAGGGTTTAGGGTTGGGATCCTGTGTTCTTTCAAAATTTTTGCTCCAAGGCAAGGCAGATGACCCGCTGAAGGTTGGGAGGAACAAGAAGAGTGCCTTGGCCTCTTTAGTGCCGCGAGTGTATGACGTGCGCGGTTGCTGGGTAGCTTGGTTGGGAGAAACGGGGATGCACATCAAACATCATCAAGTTATCATTCCCAAAACACTCATGACAAGATCAGCACTTCTTAGGCGTAAAGCTGAACTTTGCGTCTCTCCTCGTTTTCCGCTATCAGCTTGTCGCTTGTTTTTTGCATTGTACTCTTTGCTCTTTTCGGGTTTGCTCTCTGTTCTTTCTGTTGTTCCCTACCCTCAGTGTTGGATTCTTAGGTTTGAAGTCAACCATTCTCCTCGCCCCCATACTTCTTACTAGTACCCGCTCTCCTGGCCTCTCCCGTCCTTCAGAGAATCCCGGGGAGGGTCCCGCCGAGTCCCGCAGGTGGGATCGTTGTGAACCAGCCGGGTGTCTCCTGGGTTCATCTGGAGATCAAGCTCTCGTGCCTTGGGTGTGTATCCAGGGCCCTATGCCCCCAAGCCGAGATTTAAACCTAAGCGAAAGAAGCATTCGTGTCGAGCATGGGCTATAGCGGCTATGCCCTCGAACCAGAGATTCCTCGGGCACACTGCTACCTCGGGGCATGATCTGAGCCTAACCTCAATCTTGGACGAATGCCCAGCCAGTGATGCCTGCCTCCGCGTTGCGAGGTGTAGCTTCCCTTTTCCCGGCAGAGTGATGCCTTGTTTCAACATCTGTGCAGCTCTTGGACACTCGATTCCACATGCTTGCTCGGACTAGCAACCCAAGACGATGGTGGCTACCATGCTGCAAGCTTCTGCCCTTTCCTAGGCCCACAGCATCCTAAGTTCCTAGCTCCATATCCCAGGCAAGGTGCAGACGGCCTTTGCCTGCGTGATGTCTCCACGAATGGAGTGGGAATTCGGCGGAGGGGAGCTGGGCTGCAGAAGGCTCCTGGGCAATGTCAGTGTCAAGCCTTCAGCTTCTAAGAAGGCAGTGGTTTTTTTCGCCTCCAGTGGAGCCATGGCCCATCCACAGCACTTGCACACATCAGACAAGCCGGTGCCCACATGCAAAAACCACACGGAAAGCACAAGGCGTCGCTGCGGAATCCCTGCAGGCTTGCCTGAATGCATGCCACCGTGTGCACATTTACCTCGAGCTAGTTGTATGTTCTCCATTCCAAGTCTCCTGCTCCAGCTTCCAATCCAATTCCCATCTGTGTCTCAGGTTGAGAAAGAGGTGGACACTGAGCGCCTTGGATTGTGCTTACGCACGCGTGCGAGCTTGCTGGCTGTTGTTTTGCTTTGAGGGAGCCGGCAGAAAATTCGATTGAACCTTCGCCCCCCAACCACAATCCCGCAGAAGTCGCATTTGTGTTCCAGTGCAATGTCACAATCTGTCGACACAAAGAGCTGCTGTTAGCATTGCTATTGGCATCGCTCAGCCTCCCTTCGGGCACCGTGGTGGTCCTGCCGTTTCGCGTGCGGCCAGCCCCTGGTCAGACCGAAGCGTCATGCGCTCAGACCCAGTAGGGGCCCTCTTGAAGCCCTAGACTGTAACCCTGGAGTAACACATGCCATAATGCAGATTCCGAGAAGGGACGGTAATTGTAGACGTATTTCGGGCTTCAGACGTCTTGAGGGGCGGCTTGGTTCCGGGCGTCCTCTTCTTTTTTCAGAGCACATGCAACAGGACAAGTGTTTTGTCTCAGGTCTTTGCAGACATCGTTAACGTTTAGCATCGATGGGGAAGATTCTCTCTCACCTTCGAGCGAGCTCACCGAGTCGGAGGACCGTACTAATATTAATATTCTTCATTTATTCTTTACTATTACTATTATTATTATTACTACTACGATTATTATGAAGCTGCCCTGCCTGAATTAAGTTCTTCCACGTTCGTTGGCCGAAGGTTCAGTTCTTGAAGGCGCCTCTGCCTCCAAAACAAGTGGTAACGCAATTGTGGAAGACCACGCGCCGCAAGGAAGCACTGTTGGCCCGCACCCAATCCCACAAAGTCCCGTCTACGAACCCCCCAGCATGCCCCCCACAGGACCCGGATGCAGCCGCCGATGTGGAGACCTTCAACCCCCAGGTCCCTTTTTGAGATCAAGAGATAGGATAGGAATCATGTGGGGGGGGGGGGGGGGAGGGAGTTGACATCAATTTGTCCCGTTTTTGTGGTGTCAACCGTGGCCCAGAATTGCCCAAGTTCATCCACAGGATCCGTAGCAAGTAGCCCGCACGCTGTGACAGGACGCGCCTGAGAATGGGAAAGGTCTGGAGGCCGGAAGTCCTGGGCAGCCAAAATGGATGCAGAAGCGATGTCGATGAGCTCTGTTTCGTGTTCAGGCGCCAAAGGGCAAGCGCAAAAAAGATGGCAAAGACAAGCCTGCAAAGGACAAGCGCGGCGGCCATGCTGAGATGTAAGCCTGCACGAGCATGGCCCCCTTGGAAGTCGGCTTCGAGAGCTGCACTTGCAGGACAAAAAGAGGAAGGTGAAGCATGCCGCTTGGATGTGCTTCAGGGTGGATTGGTGCAAGTACGGTAGGACTGCAACATGGAGCCCACCTTGAAAGTTCGGCAAATCTGCATGTTCTTTTTGCAGGGGCTGTGGTGTGCACACTGGACAGCATTGCTAGGGTACAGGGCCTGGAATATGAAGAATGACATGAAGTTGCTCAGGAGTTTTCAGCAGGACAGTTTGTCCGCGTGGCCGCGCGTCTGCACTATCACTCGCTTCGTGTACTGCTTGGCGCAACACTTTGCAACAGGTGTCGCACGCTTGCAGAGCACCCGAGATAGGTAGGGGTCGACTCAGGTTTAGGGTTTAGGGTTTAGGGCGTAGGGTAGGGTTTAGGGTTAGGGTGTAGGGTTAACCTCAAACAAGGTCGGTTTGAAGGCCAAGGGCGAGCTGAATGGCAAAGTGGGCCTCCTGGTGGAGTGGGACAAGGCAGCCAGTTTCCAGTGGAGCAGCGAAGAGTTCAGGCAAAGAATGGCGTCGACCTCTGCCCCCGTAAACCCTAAACCCTAAACCCTAAACCCTAAACCCTAAACCCTAAACCCTAAACCCTAAACCTAAACCCTAAACCCTAAACCCTAAACCCTAAACCCTGCAGACCCTAAATGCTAGAGTCCTGTGCAGGCAAAAGGCTACTGGAAAGTCCGGATGGAAGATGGTTCTGGGAAGGCTTTTCGATCAGAGCTCCTTTCGCATTCAGTTCCTTGTGGCCCTTGAGCGCAGAGAGGCTGTAGGGGTACTCTCCAGGGGGTGTGCGTCAGTGGCAAGCAGGTACAGTTGCCTGATTGTCGCCACGCAGCTTTTCTGCTGGAAATCCGCGCCCTCCCCATAAGCCTCTGAACCACTCCGACAACTCCAAACCACCAAGAAGCCAAGCCCCCTACAGCGTTCTGAACCCCCAAGGCTCCCCGGCTCTCCACAACCCCCCCCCCCCCTCTCCCAAAAACAAAGTTTGGAACCTTATCTCTGTCACTGAGCTCCAAGCCAAGCCAACCGACCGTCAATCAACGGCCACAGTCCAACCGCTTCACTGCCACTCTCTATCTCAGAGTAGCTAGTTGGTGCGGTGCACAGCACGTATCGGGCTCTGCCAACCAAACGCTCAACGTAACACTGGGCTGACTTGCAGGGCAAACTTTGCAAAGTAACCTTACTAGTTTGCAAAGATAGGGGTCCTTACTTTGTCATAGTGGGGTTACATTTTGCGTTTCTAAGGGTACTTCAGCTCAATAAGGAATAGACCCTTAAACTTTTCAGTACTATCCCAACCATGAACTTGATTAAGGGTCCAAGCCAGACAGCAGCTCAGGCGAACCTGGAGCCGCACGTCGTGCCGCCGCCCGCCCCTGCGGGAAGCTCGAAAGCCGCAAGCGCCTGGACAATACGGGGGGGTTACGAAAAAACAAGGGGGGACCCCTAAAGTAGACCCCCAAGTAGTAGGGCTTTTCCAAAGAATGACAAGGACCCCAAGAAGGTACCCCTAAATTTCGGAAACCACCATGTCTTAGAGGGGCTTTTTGGGGGTTCAGGGGTTCGTTTTTTGCTGTCTGCCCCAGCTTAAGGCACTGTGCCACCGCCGCCTCCAGACGAGCCAGCTCCCAAGGAGCAGGGCCAGGCCCATTTGCACCAATCATCCCTTCAACTGAAGACACCCTTCCAATGATTGAAAGCCTGCAAGTAGCAGCTACCAGTAGCAGTCCAACTGGCCGTCTGACTGAGCCTGCTGTGTGTGACACGCCCTACAAGTGAGGACATGAAGCTGCCGGAGGGTAAACAGACCTGCAAACATGCTTGTGAACTCCGACATTCCTAGGCCCCAGGTCTTTCTCCTTTCGACTTTCTCCTCAAAGACGGTTTGAGATCAGAGGAGGTGCCGCCCCCGCCGCCAGCGATGGAGGAGGATGCGGCCAAGGCGGAGACTACCTGATGCGGCACAGCATCACGTGCATCTCTGCAGTTTCACTGTCGGGATCTGCTAGGGTGTTGCTTATGATGCTGTTGAACTCTCCAAAACATACGTATCGGTGTTCAAGTGGTGCGCGACGATTCTTCTGCATCGGTTTGCGCGCTTTTTGTCGCTTCGAGAAGTCACGAGCCAGTTCCACTGCAAGAGTTCGAAAAGGTAGCAACTGTCCCCTTGTCCAGGTTCTGCCGTTGCCACCCGCGCCTGCAGCACATGCCGCGCGGATCTGGGCAATAAGCGGCAAACCCACAACGCTCAAGTCTTAAGCATCAACCCGGGTTGCTTTGGGAGAAGTGAGACTTGTTGTTACCCTTCTTGTCAAAGGAACCACTACATAAACCATATTCATGAGGTTCAGGGCACCCTAAACCCTAAACCCTAAACCCTAAACCCTAAACCCTAAACCCGAAACCCCAAACCCTAAACCCTAAACCCTAACATTAGACGTTGCAGCCCGAGAAGAGGTCAAGAAGGCTGCGCCTCGTCCACCGCCCGGGACGCTACCGGGGGCACCGTCCGGCCCTCGAAGTCAGCAGGCTTTCGATGGGTTCTTGGGGCCATGGGCTAGTTACCCTAAACCCTAAACCCTAAACCCTAAACCCTAAACCCTTAACCCTAAGCCCTGAACCCTAAACCTTACACCCGAAATCCTAAACCATGGGCTATTTGCGCAACAGTTTGGGCTGCAACCTGCTCCGAAAACAGTCGTTGAGCTTCAAGATGTCAGGCACACGGAGTCAAACCCTAAACCCTGAACGCCCTAAGCCTCTCTTGCCTTATATATAGACTTTCAGGCATATATATATTTGTATATATATATATATATGTACATATGTATATTATAATTAGATATATAGATATATAGATACACAGATATATAGTTGCATGGATATATATATATATATATATAGGTATATAGATATAGATAGACATACATATATATAGATATATATAAAACTTTGGTGGGCTCGCGGGAACCTGAGGACGGCGCTTCCTGGGGCGCCTCTGTCGCTGACGATGCCGCTTCCGGGCCTGCCACTCACGGTGCCGACCATGATGTAGCTTGGGCTGCAGTACTGCTGGTTTCAGGGTTTAGGGTTTAGGGTGTAGGGTTTAGGGTTTAGGGTTTAGGGTTTAGGCTGAGATTCGCAGCGGAGATCTTTTCCGGTCAGCCCGGCCGGTGTTTCTGTTTCACATATGCTTTTCTCAAACTCTGTGAACTTCCTTGCGGTTCCGGCAGCGTCTCTAGCTCACCTTTCCTTGCAACTATTATTGTTATTATTCTTCTTATTATAGTTTTTATTATTCTAATAATTATTATTATTACTATGATTATTATTATTATTATGATTCCCTGCAGGCCAATGGCAGGGCTGATGGGCAGCATGGTGCCTGTGATGCCGCCGGGGCTTCCCCTGATAGGCGGGGGGTTTACGTTAACAGAAGGGACCCCCAATATAGACCCCAAAGAAGAGGATTCCCCCTATAATGAGGACCCCAACAAGGTAAACCCCTCCCCCCCCACCCCCCTCCCTAACTTTGGGAACCCCACATGTTGGGCCCCCAGCTCAGTAAGTCCTCCTTTTGCAGGAATGCCCCCTGCCGCGGTGCCTTTGGCGATACCTCCGCCTGTGCTGCCGAAGAGGTAAGGGCGTCCTGCGCTGAAGCCCTGGGCCCTCCAACTGCGGCTCCCTGAACCTTTGCCTGGCAGTTCTGGAACCTTAAAAACCTAAAGATAACAAATTATATAGCAAGAAACAGCAGAATACAAAAGTTATATACAGTAGCAAAAGACAGAAGAATACAAGATGCGCAAGTAAGGTGAACATACAGAGAGCATGTCGCAGGTTCTTTGTTTTACCTTGTGTGATATCGGGAGCTGCATCAAGTTGGGTCCATGGCACCAGCCGGTGCGGCCCCTGGGTCGTGTTTCCTTCAGAATCGTCTCGCTAACGTCCGCCAAAAGAGAACACGCACTCGAAGGTTCCATCGACAGTATCCTTATGGCGCTAAACCCCAAACCCTAAACCCTAAACCCTTGAACTTCAGTTTAAGAGTTTGCCAAAGGAACGGGGGGAAACATGAGCTCCCCACTGACCCCCCTTCATGAAGGCCAGGTTGGGGCTAGCTGTCCTGAACGCGACGAGAACTTGCAACAGCTGCATCAAGGCGGTTACGATATTAGGGGGTGCCTTATTGGGCTCCTTATTATAAGGGGATCCTACTATTTAAGGGACTATACTAGGGGCCCCTGATTTGTCTGCCTCTGGCTGCTGTTCGCCAGTTTCGTGTTGCCACGTTTCAGTCTAGAGCCTAGGGTGAAGGGTTTGTCGAAGATGCATCGTCTTGAAAGGACTCGGAAGGAAATGCCTATACTGGTTGTACCTTTGAAAGCAGAATGCTCTCATGAAGTTCTTGAAGCACATCTCGAGCATAAGAATCACGAGGATTGGCGTTGAGAATGCGACCTTCAGTCTCTTTAGGCGGTTGGATTTGCGGGTGTAGATGCGGCGCTCTGCTGCGCCCGACTGCGATCATTTTCCGAGAGGTTGGTGGCAGATGTTGGGAGTTGGCTCGAGCGAGAGCTCCATGAGGTCGGACCAGCAGGCACGGAAGAGCACGAGCAGATCAGACTGGAACGCCACAAGTCAGCCGCAAACTTGACAGAATCCAAGATGGCGTGCAGTTGCATCGCAGTTTCAAAGTTGCGCTTTTTATAGAGACGCAGAAGCATACTCTAGCTAGCTACGCCGCGCCTGCCATGGCTTTGCAGGCCGCGCCCCGCATGCAACACAGACCATGTCGGCACAACTCAAGCAACACCCAACCACGTAACAATCGGCAAAAGCAGGCTGCACTGCGATTGTCACAGCTCGTCGCTGCTTTCCAAAATCTTCGATGCCAGGTTGCCATCTCATGGCTGTGCCTGGCGGCGGCTTCAGGAATGAGCTGGGAATGAGGAGAATGGGCCAGAATGGGTGACAGATTTTGACCCATCCTGATCGGGTGCATCGGACTCAGCCATTGGGAGAAAGATCTGGGAGCAAGGTCACGCTGTCGCAGGCCATGGTCGAGATCCAGGACCCGACGGTAGGAGATGCTTTGCTTTCTGGCCTGACTCTGCCTTCGTCCAAGTCCCCACTGCTGCCCGCCCTTTGCCTGTCTGAGCCTGCTTGCCTTCGACAGGACGCTACAGTTTGGGTCAAAAGTGCCGGAGGGGCCAGCTGTGAGATCACTTGTCAGGCCAGATCGTTGTGTTGTGCCGTGAGTGGCTGGGCTCACTAGACTCGAGCAGCGACTTCTTGGATTGCTTTTGAAAGACACAGGCAAGAGGCGGATGCAAGGAAGATGCCTGGCCGACCGGTGCCAAGAGCGTGTGCATCAGGGGATGCCAAGGAATTCCATGGTCGCCGCAGTCGAGCAAGACCTGAAATTTAGAATTTAGAATCGCTCAGTGCGTGTCACTCATCTGGCTCTTCAGGCTACCGATACCAGTACGCGATGCATGCCCTGTCTATATATGCATCTCTCTCTATATATATATATAGTATATATATATACATAGATTTTTATATGTATGAAATAAATAAATAGATAATGTATATATATATATATATATATATATATATATATACATACCGTATACATATAATTATACACACATACATACCAATTTATTTACTTACCTATGTGTTTATGTATTTACTCGTGGATGGATGGTAGAAACAGGCAGAACCTCTTCTCGCCAACTGCCGAGGGCAACCTTGGAGGAGTTCCAGGAGATCCTTGACGAGTCGGGCCTGAAGTGTGCCAGCATCTTAGGGTTTAGGGTTTAGGGTTTAGGGTTTAGGGTTTAGGGTTTAGGGTTTAGGGTTTAGGGTTTAGGGTTCAGGGTTTAGGGTTTCCCCAGATTTCCCGATCTCTTCGATTCGCCTCGCAAAGTGAACTGAGAGGGCCCTGGAGATTCCTCTTCTCCATTTTTCTTCTTCTGAGTTCGAGAGGCTTTATTGGCAGGAGAGTTCTGTTTCGGAGGAAGATGGCACTGAGGTCAGCATCCAACAGGGCGGCGCCAAGTACGACCCAAGTACTGACGGCCTCTTGGCTCGGAGTTGCAAGGAAAAAGGGATGACTGAGACCCTGAAACTCCCTGAGCGTGTTGCGTCTCCATTCTTTTCGATCTTGAGTTGTGGCGTCCTGCAGTGGTATTGGGGATGTGCCCGCTTATACAAACAGTCCTTAGTAGGGATTATAATGTACACTCATCCCGATTAAGGATTGTTAGTATAGGGGCAAACATCTCCAAGTGGTGTCCATGCCACGAAGACGCCATGACAATCTGCTCTCGACCTGCAAGGCCGGTACTGCGGCTGGCACGGCGATCCCGGACAGGGATCCTGGTGCCTCGGCTGGTTTAGGCTTTAGGGTTTAAATTAGGGTTTAGGGTTTAGGGTTTAGGGTTTAGGGTTTAGGGTTTAGGGTTTAGGGTTTAGGGTTTAGGGTTTAGGGTTTAGGGTAGGTTTGATGGGTGCTATCAGGAGCAGAAGAGTTGGGGTTTTGGCCCCCTGGTTGTTGCTTAGAGGTCAAGAAATTCGGCGGAGTTCAAGGCTTGCCGATGTCTTCATGATGGAACCCTAAACCCTAAACCCTAAACCCTAAACCCTAAACCCTAAACCCTAAACCCTAAACCCTAAACCCTAAACCCTAAACCCGAAACCCCTAAACCCTAAACCTGTGAGAAGTTGAAATTTGGAAGCAAAGCTGTCAGGTCGCGCTGTGCAGCTGCCGGCGACGCGGGAACATACAGGCTAGGCAAACGGGGTGAGTGGGGGCCTGTCTTTAGTGTTCTGAAGATACTAGATTCCCTTTTCGGGGGGGTCAGATTCTCATCTTTGGTGGTGTTCGATAGACCTTCAGTGAAAGGAAGAGACGTGCTCACACGACAGCTTGTGTTGTCTTGGGTACCGTCATCGGCTAGCACTCGATACCCCTCGCATAAGTATGAGCAGTCAAAATTATCTCACAAGCTCCTCTAACAAAGCACCTTATCTAGAATCCGGAGGCGTCGAAATCTCTATGTGCATGAACACCCCTTAGGTGCTACATTTCCGGACGTGTGAGAGAAAAGGCTTCGAGGTTTGGTTTCAGAGGCTTCAAGGCGTTGGGGTTTAGGGCTCTTCGGGCTCTTTCTTACATCTGCGGAAAGTTTTAGGAATAAGAAAATGGGGGGAAGCCGGGCGCCCGTAAGCCTTGAACGCCAGAATCCCTAAATAGATCTTTAGCAATCGATAAGAGGCCCTAAACCTACTAAACCTAGAAGCCGCGAGCCAGGTTCTGCCCTTGCTATGGGGACAAGGAATTATGAGATGGATGCCATCTCCACCCAGGATGACGATTTTAGGGTTTAGGGTTCAGGGTTTGTTCCCTGCACGGTCCAGACGCACGTTCCCGCCAGCTGCGGCGAAGGGGCGCTTGCGATGTTCCTTCCGTCTTACTGCCTGTGTGCGTGCGACGCGAATTCAACACACGACATGCTCACCAATGCTGTGAGTGCGTAGAAGCTCGCTCGTGAGTGGAGGGACACCTTGCTGATCGAACTTAAGATTGGAGGAGACCTCAGAAATAAGGGGTGTTGCGTCCCTGCTGCTGGCCTTCAGAGGTGTCAGTGCTGCAGGCTCTTGAGTGAAGCTTCCTGCAAAGTTCTCTGCCCTAAACTGACGGCTCAAGGGTTTTAGGTGTTTTTTTGTGTGCCGTTCCCACGCCCTTCGGGTTCTGATCTCGATCGCCATGCCGAAGCGCACGCTGGAGGGTGATGCCGTTGCTCCTCCGTTTGCACTACTTCAGATTCAAGTCTCATCTATGTGCGTTGTGTGATGAAGTCTGGAAGCAGTCGGGATGGACAAACTTTCGGTGGTTTGTTGAGGGATCTACGAATCTGCGACGCTTTAGTGCTTCTTGTTTGTCCCCAGAACCCTGGCGTGGATCAGGTTCAAGACGACGTGCAAAGCGGCTGCGATGAGGGGAACTGGTTTCAGGCAGAGAAGCATCGCAGTGAGATTCGATCGTTCCTGCGTGGCCCGGGCAATTCCGAGCGCTTTGCAATGATCGACCTGTTCGGTGCTTCCGGGCAGATGTCCAAACGTTGGCGCAAAGCTGGGTGGGATGCTTTCGCCTACGACATCAAGACCTCCAAAGCACATGATGTCACCAGTGCAGACGGCTTTTGGGCACTCTGTTCCGCGGGAAAAAGGTTGATGACGAATGGCTTGATATTCGGAGGCCCGCCCTGCAGTCTGTACGTGTGGATTTCCAAGTCAGTTCACAAGCGAAGCGAAGACAACGCATTCGTCGGGGACACTGGACTTTACAAAGTCCGGATGAGCAACCGCATCGTGGCGAACATGTGTGTCTTCCTTCAAGAGCTCTCGGAATGCAAGGCAGCTCGACTGAACAACTGGACAGGGATGTTGTATGTGTGCAAGTATTCATGACTGTCCTGCAGTAGCGGCCGAAGATGCTTGTGTGAAAGCCATGCTCGTGTTTTATGCTCCTAGCTGTGGCTGGGCTCGTCTTGGCTCGGTTTATTTGGTTTGGGCTGACTCGGTTTCTTTCCGGCTTGGTGGCTTGGCTCCGAGGGCTTAGAGGGTTTAGGGTTTAGGGTTTAGGGTTTAGGACTTGGCTGGCAGTTCTTTCCTGGATTTAGGGTTTCGGGTTCTATGGTTTAGGGTTTAGGTTTCCTAGGTGTGGCTTGGCTTGCCTGGTCTTGCTGGGCTCGAGTTCGCAGTGCTGGCAGTAGCGAGATGCTTGAAGCCGAAGCCCAGATCCTTTCTACTGGGTCACTGGGTACAACAGACCATAATCGGACGTCATTGGGGCCCCGGGCAGGTTTTCGGCGCCCAAAGGAATTCCAGGCACAAGGCTTTTTGGTGACAGAGTGTTTGAGTGTCTATGGAGGAAATCCAAACCCGAGACCGCGAATTCCACATGGTGAGCAAATTTTGTCTTTTTCCGTAAGGAACAAACGCCCGAAGACCCATGGAAAAAAACCCGCCTGCGAGGATTTCTACACAGTCATCGAGCAGCCGTCGTCTTCAGCCATGTTCAAGATGAAGGTCACGTCGTCCTTGGCCAAACAGCTGGAGATGGAGCGTGTATGGACTTGGATGGGGTTGTTTGGGCACGAGCCTTGGCTGGATGTAGAATGTCTTGCAGGATGTCAAGGCGACATCGCGCCGCGCCATATCGTACAGTATGTAGGCTGCTGTGGCATAGCGGTTACGGGTTGAAACCTTCGCTGCCGGGCGTCCTCAAGCCTTTTCGAGAATAGGACGCGACATGTTCCTGCGTGTTGAATACATACAGCAGTGTATGGCTAAGGAGCTGCCGAAAGCGACGATTCTGACCGGCAACCTCCCTTCTTTGCCAACCCTCCGCCGCGTCCTGACGAACGCCAGCCGCAAGCAAATCAAGAACAGGCTCGGGAGACAGTGCTGATAAGGGGGTGTCTGAAAATGAAACGGGTCTTGTTTCGGGGCTTGCGCAGAGCCTGCAATGCTCCTGGCATCCACCCTAAGCCCTAAGCGCCTAAGCCCTAAGCCCTAAACCCTAGACCCTAGACCCGAACCCCTAATCCCTAAACCCTAAACCCTAAACCCACTTTGAATCACAAGTTGAAAGCTCTGAGCGCCCCCCAGCGAGGCAGAAAAAGACCGGCGGGGCAAAGTTCTACACAAGGGACCGGGTTTCCCTGCTTTGGCTGGCTGGTTCTTAGTAGGGAATGAGGGAATAAGGTACCCTATACTATCCCTTAAAGGGTATATATAGGGCCCTAATTACCTCATTCCCTACTGAGAACCAGAGAAGTACTTGTGTGAATCTCAGGGTCTATCGCATGCAATCGGGAATGGCCGTTGCCCTATTCTGGTCCTGTACTGCACTTGGGACGTCATGGAGTGCCTTCGGATTATCTTTCGCTGAGGTGAGTTGAAAATGTGTTTCAGTGCCTGCAGGATGCCGACGGAAAAGTGACAGGCAACAAAAGTCTTCAAAACACTGCCGCGTATACAGCAGAGTTCTGCACGGCCGTGTACAAGGCTTGGGCAAAAGATCTCAAGGCCAACTGAGCCATGCGCAACTTGCCGCTCAGCAGCGCAATTTGCTGAATCCACATTCAGACTCGCACTCTTATTTCAGTGAGCGTGCTTGTTGCAGGCAGGGCTTTCCGCAATGGTGTGGGCATTGCTAGTCCTGCTCTGGCCGTAGTAACCAGCGCTTCCTGCGCTAAACGCCTGTGAAGCATACTGTGCATCCAGCGCGGGCTAACCTGCGCGTTAATGATGTTAATGGCTGCCTGCGCATACAGGCCTTCGTTTTTTGTTGAGGTATCCATTCCAAATGTGCCCGCGCTGCGGAGAAAAGGGATATTGTTGCACGACTTGATACTTTCGCAGTCGGCAGTGCCATCAGAGCAAACGGACCCTCGAGTGAGTGGCACCTGAGCCACAAGCCCAGTCCTCAACGCCTTTTTCATGCTCCGGTGCTGCGTTTTGCCTCCTGTTTGAGGAGTCTGGCTTACAGCACAACTGCCAACCTTCAGAAGCGCAACTGAGAGCTTCCTGTGCGTCAGCTTATGTTTGGGTGTTGGGCTAGAATGGCTAGAATGCGTCTTGAAAGACGCTCCTACCACTGCGAGAGAAAAGACGCAAGAAAAGAGCCCATACTTTGAGCCGAGCCCGCAGCAAAACCAAAGAAGCCATGGGAGCGCTGCCTCGTCGGCTCTTGCTCCTGGCCTTTCTTGCTCTGCTGCTCGGAATCTTCCTTGCGCCCGATCCCAGGCTCCTGCTGGGAGACTTCCTGGGACGGCATGTGGAGATCGCAAGAAACCTAGCTGCCATTGCCCTCTTCTTGGAGGCTTGGTGGTCCAGTGGTGCCCATTTCGCTTTTTTTTTTTGGGGGAGGGGTGGGGGGTGGTTCCAGGTTCCCCTGAAACAGTGACCAAACCAACAAAAGGTGCCCTTATTCTTAGTACTATTAGTATTATTAGTATTAGTCGTATTATTAGTATTGTTATTGTTATTATGTTTTATCATTACTGTATTTTCATTATATTATTATTATTATGATGATTATTTCTATTGTTCTGGTTATTACTATTGTTACGATTCTTATTCTTATTCTTATTCTTACTCTTATTCTTATTCTTATTCTTATTCTTATTCTTATTCTTATTCTTATTCTTATTCTTATTCTATGGTTACTGGGCTACCGAGGAGGTGTTGCAGCCGGCGACGGCGCATCCTCAGCTGGCAGCACTGCAGCATGTCGTCAAAGGGATGAAGGCATACTCAGAGGCCGAGGCTTCAGAAATGTCTCCCTTGGACCGCGTGATAGACCTGGTTGATGATTTCGGCTGGAATCATGGCTTCCTGATCAATGTCGGTGACGTGAAAGGGAAGATTTTGGACTCAGCTGTGAAGCAGAGACTCCAGAGTGGTGGAAACCTGAAGTTGGCTGTTGAGCTGGGAACATTTATGGGTTATGGCACTCTGCGTCTGTCGCGAATGCTGAATCACTCTGACGCCGAGATCATCACGGTGGATCCAGACGTTTTCGCATACACGTTGGCCAGCAGCCTGTACGAGCAAGCTCAGGTGAGAAATCGCATCACCATCAAGACAGACTACTCGTACAATGTCTTTGCAGAACTGAAAAAAGAGGGAAGGCAGATCGACTTCCTCTTTCTTGACCACGCGGCTCAAATCAGACTCAAGAGAACTTCTTGGTAGATGTTTTCCTTGGGTTACCTGATCTCATAGGCCTCTCCTGGACCTTCTGCATTAGCTTTCCCTTCTCGTTCCAGTTGCGAGGTAAAGTCGCGATACCTTGCAGACCTGCAGCTGGCACTGGCTAGCGGACTTCTGGCAAAAGGATGTGTCGTGACTTTGTTGCAAGCCTATTTTGGGACATAGCCATCTATGACCTGTCTCAGTGCCTGTGATGCACCTCCGCGCATAACATGATTTTGCCTGCATCGCGAGGTAACAGTTCTCCTTGCGTGGTCACTCTTGAACATCGCTAGGGTTAAAAGGATTCCTAAGTCTCTGAGGGCACAGACTGTGCAAACACTTGCCGCGGTAGTTGCAGTGCGTGGGCTTTGGTTCCGCCTTCTAGTCGTCCAGTGTGCGCTTTTTGTGGATATCCAGCCAGACTTCATAGCTGGGCCGCTAGGCGTTGCACCGTCAGACTAGAAGTACTCAGGTCGTCGGAGACAATATCCTCTCACCCGGCGTTCCTGCCTTGAAGAAGTACTTGCTCGAAGGCGAAGGGTCGAAGCTCTTCAGCACCAAGGTGCCATGAACGCGTAGTCTTGTTGAGACTTGATTGGTTGTTTTTTGGGGCTTTTGCTCTAGAAACGCCCTCCTTGTCTCTGGGCAGCAACGAGGGTTCTTCAGATTCTTCAGTGGCCAAGGTTGGCGAGGAGGGGTCGAGGTTGGTCTTGGGGTGCGGCATGCGGCGAATGCTTGGGTTTAGGGAGAACCACATGCAGGTGCATCGAACTCACGTTGAGTACTGGCCCTTGTTTCCTGACGAGATGACGGTCAGCACGTATCTTGGGTGAGCCGAGAAGTATGAGTCGGCTTTGTGCCGCCCTTGGAGTGCAGTACGGTGCCCTACCGTCCATAGCGACGCGGCCTCAGCCTTTCGCAAGAAAAACATGTGCCGGTGATGCACCTGCTGCGGTGCAGCCACGCCGTCCCGCTTGTTGAGATGCAGGAGCGCTCCGATGGTTCCTGCTCAAGCTTGCTAGTGGTGAGACTACAAATTGCTAACCGACTGTCTTCTTCCAGCTGCGTTGCATGAGAGCACTGCATGATTAGCAGGGTCTTGACTCAATTCCAGCGACAAGAACTGCGCGAAGCATTTTTGCCGGACTCCAAAGAGAGTCCTTTATCAGCTCTAGCCGGGCTGGCTGGACGCATGGCACATGCTGCGCACCTTCACCAACGCAGCCCTCGAGCACTCACGGAGACGCTAAGATGCAGCACAGTAGTTGGAGAAAGCCTTTGTAGCTGTTTCTCTAATTTGTGATGCTCCCGAGGGTAAGTAATTACGGGGTAGAATCCGATGCCTTTGGGCGTTTGGGCACCCAAACGATTACTGCTGCGACTGCTTGCGGTGTAATTGCAAGGCACGGGGTGACGAACGTGCGTGCTCATCCAAGTCACATGCTAAAGAAGGCATATGCTCTGCAGTCGTCGGTGCTTGAGGCGGATAGCATGTGCGAGGGTGAGCATAGCTGTCCCTTCTCATGGCACCGCGTTTTCAGTGTTGCTGACATCATGGCAGCCGTCAGGGATGTTGTACACATCCAGCCACTGCATGTCATCGACGAGGCGCAAAAAACGTGTTTTGCTCATGAGAAGCATGGTGCCATGAGGTCTCGATTTGGACAGCGACAGCGAAACCGAGCACACCGACGATGAGCATCTTGTCCCAGACGGGCCCCCATAGCCCTGAATGTTTAGGGTTTAGGGTTAGGGTTTAGGGTTTAGGGTTTAGGGTTTAGGGTTCCTTGCTGTTCGAGTAGAGCCGACAATCGCGCTGGGGCATGGAAGGCAACTGCAAACGTGACACATATGCATTGATTTTGGGCGCTGCCGTCTTACCACACTCCTCGGCCCCACACTCCTGAACCCTCAACCTTCGGCAGCTCCTTCGGCAAGCCTCTTTTCGGTAAGCCTCTTCAACTGAAGCCCTGAGCCGCGCTTTTGTCATCCTCTTGGTTCCCTTGCCTTGTGAGCCCTCTGGCAAATGAGGCATTCGCGGCCCCTCAGCTTCTGTCGGAGGATTGGCATCTGCATCGGATACCTTCTGCCAACATGGGGGTCGCTTGGCATGGCCATCCAGCAAGCTAAGCATTATTCTCGTATGCCTCGTGCTAGGACTAGGGTGAGCACGCACTTTCCAAAAAGTACTAAGGCCACTGTAGTCTTGCAATTGCCTCTGCCCCCGACCCGTAGGAAATTCCCTCTGGCCGGGGGTGCTTGTGGATTGTGAAAGGCCCTTCCTTTCGCGCCCGTCAGGCTGAGATGCCCATGAACGGCAAGCGGGTGAGGGGTTCGGGGCAGTAAGCATGGTATGTAATGATCAAGGGGAGAGGAAATCAGGGACCCCCCTACCCACGGCCGGGGCTCAAGACTTAGAGCTGAATCCGAAAGGGCTCTCCATTTTTTTTGAGGCGCTAGAAAGGTGTACGGAAGCTATGACACAAAAAGCCCGAAGCCCAAAACTCAAAAAAACGCCCTAAACGGGTCTCAAACAAGATGGTGAGGCATCTTAGCTTGGCGAATGTGGGTCGCTCGTGGGCGGCCGGCGCAACTTGGGTGCAGTGTTTTCGGGTTTAGGGTTTAGGGTCCAGAGTTCAGGGTTCCTGTGCGGGGATGGGTCTAGGGTTTACGGGATGCCCCCCCTTCTGAGGTTCTGATTTAGGCGGGTTTAAAAGGTGTTTTTGGGGCTGCGTCCTGCAACCGCTTACACGAAATGGCCGGGCAGTGATGCTGCTGATGCTCCCCCTCTGAGCTTCTCATGTAGGCGGGTGGTGCAGGTGTTTTTGGGGCCGCGTGCTGCAACCGCTAATACGAAATGACCGGGCGGTGATGCTGCTGATGCTCCCATTCCCGCAACCGCTTATCCGAAATGGCTGCACGGTGATGCTGCTGATGTATGCATCCAGCGGCAGAACAGCGTTTGCCATTTGGTCATCGCACAATCCATGCTGTGGCTCGGTCAGGCTCTTGCGCTGTGGCACTGCATCTCGGCGGCACTGGCACGCGGGGATGAGATCGGGACGGTAGCAGGATCTCGGTTCGCGGCTGTTTGAAAAACAGGGCCTCCGTGAACAAGTCGTTTTTGAGGTAGCAATTCTTGCAAAAGCGAACGCATCAGATGGTTTTGATGGGTGTTGGAAATGATATGGTACTAGTATTCCGTCCAAGACAAAAAGGAAGAGTCTTGCAACATTTGGAATCTGCAGTGTGTATCAGTATCCAGTCCACAGCAACCCACGAAGGGATTTCCTTCCAGAATCTCCGAACCTCCAGAGTTTGAGTGACCCTAAACCCCAAACCCCAAACCCGAAACCCGAAACCCTAAACCCTAAACCCTAAGCTGTGAGCTGCATCAGGCTTTTTGATCTTGGCGGCTTCTTGCTTAATCTTCTGCAACTGTGCCTCCGTCGTTCTCCGGAGCCACTTGGTCCATGCCTTTGAGCATTAAGTGCGGTCTTGTACGTGCTATGTGGCCAACTCTCTAATTTATGGTTACTTTTTCGTCCCGGTTAGCATAATTTAGGCAACTGCCCATATGGCAGAGCGGGATGTGAGCAGGGGCAGCAGGACGAACAACACAAAGAAGGTTAAAGGAGGAGCAGCAGCGTCTTCGAAAAAAGAACAGTGCCGGTGAAGCTGTGATTCTGTGCCGCCCTGCCCAAGGCTATATCATCTGGTACACAAAGTTGGACACCGCCACCGCCACGTCTCCGGAAGGCTTGAAAGCTACAATAGAACCCGCAGAAAGACATCCAAGAAACGTGCGCGGTCGCTTCAGTCATTATGACAGCAAGGAAGTCTGCACCGTTGCACTTTGCTGAGCCATAATTAGCCTCCGGGGTTTAGGGTTCAGGTTCTGGAGTTTGCTCCGCTTTCACACAAGACGCCTGACGCCCCCTCGATAGAACCCTGAACCCTGATTCCTAGCTTTATATACGGTTTTGATCTGAACCTGAGCACAGACAGGGCGCTTCCACTTGATGACGCTCTTCTATGGCGCTTTCTTTAGGCGCCATCTTCCGAGTGCGATCTGTCTTCTCCTGAGACCCTTTAAACCCTAAACCCTAAACTTTGCCTAAACCCTAAACCCTAAACCCTAAACCCTAAACCCTAAACCCTAAACCCTAAACCCCAAACCCTGAACCCTGAACCCTGAACCCTAAACCCTGAACCCTAAACCCTAAGCCCTAAGCCGTAAACCCTAATCTGCTCCCCTGTGAGGTCGTATATCATGCAAAGCGCGACAACGGACGTCCTTCGATTCGCCTTTATTCTTTGCAAAGACGCTCGGACATACAAAAAGGACGCCAATTTCTGCGGGAATAAATAGCTGCTGTAACTTTGTTGTTAGATTTTCAGGACAACTATGCCCACATGCACCCGTAAACGACATTCACCGGCAGCAGCGCTCTTCTACCAATGAGCGAGATAGGAACTTGACAGGAGCAGGCACGAGGACAGATGTGAGGAGGACGGCTATGAGGAGGACAGATAGGCGGAGGACAGACATGAGGAGAGATAGCAAGACAGGAGGCAGGACAGGCAAGAGGAGAGAGACAATGTGAGATAGCAGTACAGGAAACAGGACAGATAGGAGGACAGGTAGCGCACAGCGGGCAGCTGGCCTCTCAGGCCGGCGATAACCCTAAACCCTAAACCCTAAACCCTAAACCCTAAACCCTAAACCCTAAACCCCAAAACCCCAAACATATAGTGGCCAAAAAGGCATCTCAGACCGGTCATTGCACCGGAAAACACCGTTTTTTTGCACTGAAAACTTGTCACTTGAAGCATCCCCAGCCTGTCCCAGAATGTATACTTGCTGGGCATACCCATTTAACTAGAAGTGCCAAGAAGAAAGAGCACAGCCGCCTTGTCTTGCGTCACAATACAACGAGCTCAAGCCGCTTTTCTCGGATGGAAACCTCGGTTCTGGGCTTAGCTGGTCTTTGTGTAGGTTGGGTAACAGAAATATTCAGTCACGTTGTTTCGCGGCTTATGAAATTGCAGACATGTAGTGTTAAACTTGTACGTTCCTGTCGCATGTGTGAAACACAAGCCGCCACCAGCTTTTACTTTGCATAGAGCTGGGTTCGGCTTGCAATATCGTCGACGCACGCCACCTTACCCTTAGCCTTCTTCTTCAACCAATCTGAAGGCTGTTCTTGGTTTATGATCATGTCATGTTACAATCACAAGACAAGCAGAACCTGGATTTCCATCCAAGAAAAGTTTCTTGAGCTCTTTATTGTGACGCAAGACAAGGCGGCTGTGCTCTTGATTCTAGGAACTGCTAATCTTAGTAGACTGGGTATAAATCCGTCTCCCTCCCCAACCCCCAGAGCAGAAGCGCAACTAGCGTCTGCGCCCATTGCCCATGCAGGGCCAGGCGCACCAGTTTGGCACGATTTGCCGAGTTTCAATGACCTCCAAGGATGCATGGCGGCCGGACGTCTTCGAGGCCGCAAGACGCGCATCCACACATGCGGAGACTGAATGGATCTAATGATATAGCATGGCAAGCGGCGCAAAGCGCCAAACCCCCCCCCAAAACTAACCCGAACTGGTTTTACCCATCCAGGCCTACCGTCGTCTACTAGTTGGGGACGCCTGGGGCGAGCTAGAGGCGGGGGAGCCGGGGAGCCCAGAGGAAGCAACATGGTGCCATGCTCCTACCAAGCTTTCGTAAGAGTTTTCGCAGTTTGGGTCTCGTAGATTCGCTGTAGATACAGTAGAGACTGCTGCATTGGTGTCACACACAGGCCAGCACCTGCTGCCTGATGGTGATCATGGGGAGAACAATCGATGCCGCCACCGGTAAACCCTGAAGTCGCCCCCCCCCCCTGCCCCCCCACCCCCCCCCCGCCCCTCCTCCCCAGCTGTCCGCAGCACTGGAAGCTTAAAGCCCCTGACTCCTAAAAGTTTGCCAATCCTGAGGTTCTACATCTGCTCCTGGTCAAGGCTCACGAAGCACCAAACCTGGCTGGACATCTTTTTCCAGATGCTTCGACACTTGGATTTCTGGTTAAGAGGCCTGACTGGACTGGGTCTATTGGGCAGCTTTTCTTCTGCTCCAGTCACATAGGGGTTTAGGGTTTAGGGTTTAGGGTTTAGGGTTTAGGGTTTAGGGTTTAGGGTTTAGGGTTTAGGGTAGCCTTTTGAATGCCTTTTGAATGCCTTTTGATTTCTGCTCCAGTCACATAGGGGTTGCGAGGGGGTGGTGTTGGTAAGTGCTTCAGCCGTTTGGCATCTTTACCCCACCACGGCTCCACTTTCAAAGTTTGCAGCCTATGTGCGTGTGATGCAAAGATCCTGTGCATTTTAGCAAGCCATTGCCTGTCAAGAGCAGTTTTTTTTCACTGACCCGGCCCTGCGCCAAGTGCATGTCTCCCTCGACCTGATACCCTTGATCTACTTCGTCCGCGCTCAGCGAAGTGGCACCCATTCTGAGTGGACATACTGGGCAGAGGCCCTGAATCTCAGAGCCGAGGGCGGTTCCTCTTTTGGGTTTATGTGCCCATGGTCTCAAGACGATTGCCGCGAGTTTGGCGTTCATGTTTTAGAGTGCTACAGGCCCCATCTCGTTCCCATTGGCAGGAGTATCTGAAGGGCCAGGGTGTTAAGTTGGATGGCATCGAGATCACGCCCGCTGTTGTCCAGGGTGATGGCCGTGTCTCACAGCCCTGAATGCCTTTCATGGGTGTGGAGTGTAGTTAGTGGAGTTGTCGTGACTGTCTTGCGTCCGCTGGGCTGGGATGCAGCAGGTCTGCCTCCTGACCGGAATTATCCACGTCTTCGTCTTCTACTTCTTGTGGTGGATGGGCGAAGTTTCGCTGAAGGCGCGGCTTAGACGGTTGAAAACGCCGGAGCATGTTACCCTCAACCCGGCCCAAACACCCCCCAAACACCCCCAAAACACCCCCCAAACACCCCCAAAAACACCCCCAAAAACACCCCAAAAACACCCCCCAAAACACCCCAAAACACCCCAAACTCCAACAGAGTCGCAGGTCAAGTACTTCTGCCGCGCTTGGCGGCAAGCCAGGGCCTTCACTGGATTGCGGCACGGCCGCTCGAGCGTCCCCGGCATGGACCTGGGCAGCGCCTCTAGGGTTAAGGGTTTAAGGGTTTAAGGGTTTAAGGGTTTAAGGGTTTAAGGGTTTAAGGGTTTAAGGGTTTAAGGGTTTAAGGGTTTAAGGGTTTAAGGGTTTAAGGGTTTAAGGGTTTAAGGGTTTAAGGGTTTAAGGGTTTAAGGGTTTAGGGTTTAAGGGTTTGAGGGTTTAGGGTTTAGGGTTTAAGGGTTTGAGGGTTTGAGGGTTTAAGGGTTTCAGGGCTTAGGGTTTAGATCTTTCACAGTTCTTTCACAGTTCTTACACAATTTCACAGGGATGGCTTGGCCTCAATGTCAGCCGTTTCGGTTCGTTTTGGCCAATGCATGAGCAGTGTCAAAAGGGCAGAGGCTTCTGAAAACCCAGGCCCGCGAAAGCACAAGCCCCAAGCGCCCACAGCATAAGCGGCAGGGCGTGTGCAAGCAACCGCGCGTAAGCTAGGTCTTGACACTGGGCTGGGCTTGAGAGGTCTGCTCTGATGATCACACCTGGTGCATGTTGCGCTTCGGTTCCTTCGGTTCCTGCTTTGCGGATACTTAGTGGGTGTGGTGACTTGCTTCTTGCTTGGACATGCAGCGATGAACTCTGCTGCCCCCCCCCAAGAGTCGGTAGGATGGAGACGGCTGTGCACGGCCTGTTTTCAGTAAACCCATCTCCAGCTTGCCAGGCGCCATGCACATGACCCACAGCATATGGGTCCTGCACGACGAAACCCAGTTTGACAGCCAAGAGCAGGAGCACAGCCGCTTGCTTAAGATTCTCACTGCAGCTGGCGGCGGTCTCCTTGATACAAGTTGCATGTCAGCTGGGGTTTAAGCTTGCAGCGACCATTTGAGCGGCTTTTCTTGGTGCCGGCACTTTGTAAGCCTTAAAGGGCTGCTGCAAATGCCATGGGAACGTGAAGCATTGTAAGGAAGTATTTGTGTCACCACGTGCACTCTCTTCCATTGGCTCCCTGGCATGCCAGCGTAGACAGAAGCCATATGTCGAACTCACCATGCTTTTGGCCGCATCAGAAGCTACATGAGTAGACTTGGCCATGGGACTGTGGGATGAAGAGTCGCCCTTGCTAAGGGGAGAATATCTTTTTCCGATGATGATTTGCATTTTTGCTTTTGTGGCGGCCTGAGCTATGCCGCCGTTTCCGGGGCTGGGGAAGGAGCTTCTTCCGGAAGTGATTCATGTCTTGAACTGGGCTCCTTTGTGCAAGTGGAGATATTGCAACGCTTCGACAACCCCACATGAGCCGCGTTTGGAAGGTCTTTGGCCTGATGGATGGCCGAACCACGTTGGCGATGATAGGCCGGGAGAAAGCCAAAATCCCCGTGGAATAATGTAATAAAGTAGCAATGTAATGAGATGGTAACACAACAATATAACAATATAATAGTACAACAACAGCAATACATAGCACTTCAACAATATGACAGTATAACAAAATAACAATACAACAACAAAACAGTACAAAAATGCAAGAACAGAATAATCCTGCCAACAGATGGAAATCTTTGTTTCTGCGGTATCTCCGCGGGGGGAGTCTCGCGCCTGGTGAGCATGAATCGACGCAGGGAATGAGACGCAAGCGCGTCGACTGCAACAATAAAAGAATACAAAAGCCCATACTATAACAATAGACTCATATAAAGCTAAAGTAGTATAATCACATAATCATATACTAGTATGACAGTATACGAATACGATAATTCTATACGAAAAAGTGAATACTAGTAACTAGAATAATCATATAAATTATAAGAATATATCATTTAAGAGGTCGTCGAAGAATAGAACCACACAACCATCACAACGATATTTTCGTATAGAAATATGGGAATCTAGCAATCCAAAAACACATGCGACAAGAGAATATATATATATATATATACATATATAATCGTTATACACTATCATCATGACAGAATCTTCGCGGATCTGCAAGACATCCGGACCTCGAAACGGGAGCCCAATGTCTGGCTGACACAAGCTCCCGTGGTCGTCACATTTGGCCACCTTAGGGTTTAGGGTTTAGGGTTTAGGGTTTAGGGTTTAGGGTTTAGGGTTTAGGGTTACCTGGGCCGTTGAAGCCGAAATGGGGCGGGCCCCATTCATTGATTTGTTTGGATTGCGGCCACGAAGCCTGGTAAGGCGGTGGGAGACCTCATGAATCAGACAGTGGCGATAAAGGTGATCATGCTCATGATGGTGATGGTGGTGACGCGAAACTCACTGTGTGTTCAACGTGCCGTGGTTGTGCGCTTGGGGCCAGGGGCAGGGTGGGCCGGGGGGAGGGGCCAATTTATGCAGCGATAGTTCGTTTAGACCTGTCATGGACCTGTTCGGACAGGGGGTCTCTTCAGGTTTCATGCCTGTGATGCGACTTCATGCTCTGTGATGCGAATTCATGTTCAACCGATTACCCTTGCTGTGATGTGACTTCGCACCTACGTCTCTTCTCTCACATTCTGGGCGCTGGTCGGAGGTGGATGCTCAGCGCTGATGAGCTGGATAGCTCTGGGCTCAGACATCACTGGCTAGCGCAGAACTGCCGGGTGCAAGTTTGCTCGGTTGGATTCTGGGTTGCGGGGCACCCCGTCATCACTTCCCTGATCCGAATACATGAGCAGTTTCTTTTGAGTCATGTGCTGAATTGATCTGACTTGCATTGAGGTGATGGTAGTCTCCAGTTGCTTGGACACAACGTGGAGCCTGTGCGTCAGGACCTAGAGTAGGCTGGTGGTCTGTTGAATAGAGGGTATCTGTCCCGGCTTTGTCTGGTCTCTAGAACCGTGACATTCATCTCAAGACCCGTGCGCGCGATGACAGAGGTGTGTTTCCCAAATCGTTTCCCTAAAAAGTAACTTTGTCCGGATCGCATGTAAGTCTTTCGCAGAAGTCCGGTTGTTTTGATCTCGAGAACTGGAAGCTCCCATGCAGCACCCAGGTTTCGCTGACCGGATCCAGCCTCTCAATCCGCCACGGTGGTTCGCTAATGCCTTCAACCATCCAGATATTCTTCAGCGATGGGGCCGGGCTGCAGGGTGATACTGATTCTCGATGGGCCTAGACTTTACAATGTATTCGTCGCTTATACCCTACAATCAGTTTCAGGATGTTGCCGGTTTAGGCCCTTTCTGGGCGAGAAACAAGGCTTTAGCTGTGGACCCTGGAGGTGAGAAGTGGTGCAGGCTCAACCACAGCGCGCAGAAGCGGCAGCGCCATCCCTTCGCCATCACCTTGATAGTGGTGGGGGCAGTGTCCTGCCAGCTTCAGTACACTGAGCGCTGGAGAGATAGCCGGGCCGGTAGACTTGTGGGAGCCACTCTTTAAGTTTAAACTGCCAGGGCTGGTCTTGTTCAAGCAGGGAAGCTTAGATTAAGTAGCCAGGAACCAGAGACCAGAACAGTTGCCCTGCAAGACATGGTACATTGCAAGACTTGTGGGCCTGGGCCTACTACGCTGGCATGGTGAAGAAATGACTTGCCCAAGGTTTTCGGAGCGGCCCGCTTGAAGTGGCTCACTCTTTCCTGTGCCTGGCTTACCAATGCAAGGGCATTCTTATTCAATGGCTCACGACAATCTGCGAGGGGGCACTGTCTGCACCAAGGCCTGGCGATTTTATTTCTTCTGTTCCTGCGCCTGCTGTCCATGTACTTCGAGGGAGCCTGGGGCTGGGCAACAGCCTTCCTAGCGCCCCTGCTTGCAACATGAGGGCATGCAGAGGCATGAATGAGGCATGAGTGAGGCATGAATGAGGCATGCTGGAATGCGGCTTGTTGCTGCTGCTGAGAGGCCTTTTCAATCTCTTGAAGAATAAAGTGGGCCTTTGTCCTGCTCAGAGCTGTTTCTATCGCTACTCGAACAACTTGCAATGCAAGGAAGCGATCTTCGAAGGCGTAATTCTTCAGTGGCTTGTAATTCAGAGCCTTGGTTGGATCTTCCATGATGTTCCGTCTTTTTGCCTCCTTATGTGGCCGAATCCGCCCAAAAGCCCGGCCCACAGCCCGCCTAGATAAACTCTTAGCCCCCTGTGAGCATGCCTAGAATTTTTTCAGGACAACCCCAGAGTCCCCTAGGGTGCCCAACCCCAGAGTGTCCCCGGAGTGCCCAGCCCCAGAGTCTCCCACCCCAGAGTCTCCCTGGAGTGCCTTGCCCAACTCCAGAGGCCCAACCCCAGAGTCTCTTTTAGAGTGCCGAACCCCAGAGTGTGCAGTGCCCAACATCAGAGTCTCCCTCAAGTGCCCAACCCAGATTGTCCCCAGAGTGCCCAGCCCCAGAGTGTTGCATCTCTACCAAGAGGGTGGGGATGTTCGAAGCAAAATATTTTCTTGTTCCAGGGGGTGCTCCCATAAGGTGCCCACAAGGGGAGCCCAAGTGGGCCTCGCTAGCCCATGGAAATCGTAGGTTTTGCACCCTCGCAAGCAAGGTGGAGACTTCGCGTAGGTGGCCTCTTGGTTTCTGCCCCAACTTCCAGAAAAAATTGTGGCCCTTTTGAGCCTACTCTGGGTTTCTCGGGGTGACTGGAAGGGAAGCTTCCAGCTCTGCTGGAGTGGCTATGGTGAAAAGAGCGCGGGCAAGTTTCGTGTAAGTTGAGCTGTTCCGGTTTGGCCTCGGATGCATCCAAGGACAGCCGATCGTCCACTTCTCGACTCTTTTCTGATTCTGCTTCTGTGTGCCTTCTGACTGCACAGGGATAACGGGAGCCGCCTAACGGGCCTAACGTATGGCCTGCCCATACTGCCATGTTGAGCTGCTAGCGGCCGCTGCCAAAGGGTCCACTTGCACCGGCTTGTGTGTGTTGATCCCCTGTGCTAACAAAGGCAATGCGGCAGAGCCTGGACAGCATCAGAGTTTTGCAGATCCAGATGGAGGTTGAGGTAAACCCTCAGCTCTAAGGCCTCAAAGCCGTTTCAGCGCTCTTGGCCTCAGCAAGGTTTGGCTTTCAGCGAGAAGTTCGGGCCGGAGATCGTATTCGTGTCGTACCTCGGCTTCAGGGAGAGTGAGAAGCCGGCAGGATAGGCAGGGTTATAGGCAAATGGCTGTAGGGCGTGACCAATTCCCAACGCAAGCTTTGTGAGAGCGTGTCAGCGTGCCGAGCTCCCCGCCCAGCGACAGCCCACTTACAAGCGCAGAATCTTACATCTTACAACTCTCAGGGTGTGTTGGCTCTTCCTACATTGTCCTACATCTTAAAACAACTGACTGGAGCTGTGAATCAAGCAGGGCTGATTTGTTTGCAGGGACAGGTTTCAGGTCAGGCCTCCTGGCTGCGAGAATGTTTCGAAGAGTGTGCGGGCAGCATGGCGTGACAGAGTTTGCAGTGCGTGCCTCAGGCCCGATACACCTCAACTCCTCAATGCATTTCCCTGTGAAGGTTTCCTTCATGGCCCTGGGTGTAAACCATGCGTGGAGCTCGGCGATCTTTTTTGCGTGTGCTTCGAGTTCAGAGCTTTCTGCAGCTTCCTGAGAGTGCCTCAGCCAAGTTGGTGATCATTTTCATCGCCCCTCGGCCAAAGCGCGATGACGCCTTCTTTGTCCTGGAACCACTAAGATGTGTGCTCTTGAGCACTGTTCGCATCCATTGGTCCTTTTGATTCTCCGGTAAGTACGAATGCGCCCCACAGGGCAGGACAGCGTCAGCAATAGTCAGCTTTGGCTCAAGAATTGTTCGGTTTTTTCTCGGACGCAAGTAGTGCGATTCTACGCAACATTCGCTGCCACAACATCAAGTGCACAGATAAACCTGTCTAGCCTGAACATCGGCTTGGCAACGGTCACCATGTTGGTGCTAACGGTGTGGGTTGCGATCGTTTCCGCCCTAAAGCCCTAAAGCCCTAAAGCCCAAAACCCAAAACCCTAAACCCTAAACCCTAAAACCTAAACCCTAAACCCTAAACCCTAAACCCTAAACCCTTGCGATCCGAAACTTGTAGAACACACCAGAGGTCTGCTGGGCCTTCGTAACTTTGTTCCAGTCCGATGAGTGGAGCTCGTGGCTGGGCTGCCTTGAGCTCTCTACACCCGAAGCCCTAAACCCTAAACCCTAAGCCCTAAACCCTAAACCCTAAACCCTAAACCCTAAACCCTAAACCCCAAACCCCAAACCCTAAACCCCAAACCCTACTTTAAACCCAACCCAAACCTGAGCACCCTGCAATTTGCGAGCCCCTGCCCTTCCCATTTTTCTGAAGCCAACACCCAGGTTCTGTCCGAACATTCCAGACTGCAAATACCAGACCATCCCTCCTCGAAACCTGGCTTTGTGGTTAAGTGCTCTGCATGCCACCTGAAGTTCGGAGATCTGGCTTCAGGGTTTGACCCTAAACCCTAAACCCTAAACCCAAAACCCTAAACCCTGAACCCTAAACCCTTAACCCTAAACTCGGGTTTGAGGGCTTTGGGTTTAAGGGGCCGGCTCCATGAACCCCTAAAGCCCTTAACCCTGGCATGAGTTTCAGGCCGCAGCACGGGCCCCATGTTGTGGCACTCGAATCCCGGCCGGATTCGGAGCCCTTAACAGGGATGAAGGAGCCGGCAGAAGCCCTAAAACTAACCAATGATGGGCGCAGTAGGGATGATCTGGGAATGGTACTGCAGGGATCCCACTCGGGGTGGGCACACTGGGTGTGGGAGACTCCAGGCTGAGGCCAACATCCAGAGAGGCATCCGCTGTAGAAAAAAATGTAAGGAACCGGTTCAGGGCTGGGGGCATGACAGCTGAGGCCCTGGACTGGAGTCTTACACGCCTCTGCTTCTTGACATATTGAAGTCTCAGACGCGAGGGTGCAGGGATTCATTTGGGGTTAGGGCCGAGAAGTGCGTCGGCGTCGTTGGGGATTGTCATGAGATTCACAGCAGGTGGGTTCAGAAACAGCTCACTTTCAGGGCCTTTCAACCACCAGGGCAAACATGCGGCCATGGACTCGCATGTTCTTTTCTGGGCAAGCCCCGAAACACTCGGGGCAGCTGGTGGGGTGGGATTGGCCTCTGATTCGATGGCCACTGGCAACTCCAAGTTTCAAGTCGTTCGTGCTTTAGTGGATCGAGCTCCACCGCCACACTGATTCGGACCCTGGGGATGCTTCTCTGGGAAACAAGGGTGTGTTTCGAGCGCCATGCTTGTGTTCCAAAAGACTGCCTTACTTCAGCAGAAGTTAATTCAAACCAGTTTCTGCATGATTTTGCTGTTTCGCAGTGCCGAAACCACTGGCAATTTGTTTCTGAACACGTAGCATGGCAATGTGAGAATTGACTGTTGTCCCGTGCCGGAATGTGTACCATGGGCTATGTTACAGTTGGAAAGCTGCGCGTATCTTGCTGCGCTTCTTCTGTTGTACTGTTGGCATTTGCGAGTCTTGGTGTCCGTGAGTGTCAGTGAATGTCCGTGTGAGTCCGGGCGTGCGGGCATGCGGGCATGCGGGCGTGCGGGCCGGCGGGCGTGCGGGCGTGCGGACGTGCGGTCGTGCGGGCGTGCGGGCGTGTGGGAGGTGGACGTGAAAGCTAGGTCACAGAGTGGGATACTGCACTTGGCCAGTGCAGCACACCTGCAATTGTTCGAAGCATTGCTTCAACAGGGTTTTTTTGTGATGCTGTTTAGGTCGCTGTATACAAGTCCTTGTTTAGTATTGAATCTACACTCATGTGAGGGTTCATGCAGGCTCCGCCTTTGAAATCTTCAATCGTGAGAAGAGGAAGGATTGCACGAGTGTGTGTGTGGGTGGTTGCGCAAATGTGTGGTATGTGGTTGTGTGGTTGTGTGGTTGTGTGGTTGTGTGGTTGTGTGGTTGTGTGGTTGTGTGGTTGTGTGGTTGTGTGGTGTGTGGTTGTGTGGTCGTGTGGTCGTGTGGTCGTGTGGTGCAGTGTGCGTGCTCGTGACACCTGCGCGTCGCGCGCATGCGCGTGCGCATGCGTGTGCGCATGTGCGTGCGCATGTGCGTGCGCGTGTGAGTGGGTGCGTGTGTGCGTCTTGGTGTGAGCGCTCATTTTTTTGGTTTTCAGCTCCATGATGGTCCATGTGTAGCGCCGCAAAAGGCACACCACGTACCAGGTCATGTCATATCTGAGGTGTAACATGGAGTTCCCAACGAAAGTGGGCAAATATTTGAAGTTTGCTGCCGGGGGCTTGGCACAAGTCCGCCATGCAAAGTTACATCGTGTTCGGGATGGACTGATCAGCTCCCAGGACTTCGGTCTCTTTGCTTCCCTGACCTACGAGCCTTGCACCAAGCTTGTCAGCCCTGCCTCCTCGTTCACAGGGCCTCTACATGATCCACGTGCTTCCACCTTATTCGTTTTTCCCAATGCAATTCCCAGTATTCGCAGTATTTGGAGTCCAGCTTCTGTTGTTATTCTATTCTAATGATTCTAACTTCCGTGCCGTAGCAAGAAGAGCATCAACGCTGAGGCCTCGCTCTCGTGTTGAGGCGGCCCTCCACCACTATTTCCCCAAGTGGCATCTGGACGAGGTTTTCTGGCGGATTGAGCGCTGGGGCCTCAGAATCCTTCCTCAGCATTTTGCACCGGACATGTCGTCTGTCGCGAATTTCGAGCTCCATCGGAGCTCTGGCGGTCGTATGAAAGTTTCGACCCCCCCGCAGGTACTCCGACCCCCCCCCCTGAAGCCCTTCTCACTCTCTGTCTCTCCCTCTCCTCGTCTCCTTCTCCCTCTCCCTCTGTCTTTCTTTCCCTTTCTATCGGTCTCTATTTGTCACCATCCTCTCTTTCTTTTCTTGGGTTGTTGTCGTTCCCTTGTCTCTCTCGCTCAAGCCCATAGCAGAAGCTAATGTTTCCTGGTACACGTAGCCACTGGCAACTTCAATGATGGTGCCTGCAGTGTGCGCTACGAAGGTACGAGGCCCCATGGGGACTGGTCCCGCTTCCTCATGTTTACATCCGAGGACAATGGAAGCTTCGGATGCACAGACTCATAGACGGTTTAGGGTTTGGGTTTTGAGGGTTTATTGCAGTTGGAACCTTCCCACGCTTCAGCGATTTGGCAGTAAGGAACAACGGTCATCGCAGTCCGAGGGACCCTGGATGCTGTTGACGTCCCTGCCTCAGCCAGACGTGTAGCATGAAGCAGCAGAAACGAATGAAGTCTCCCGAAGTGACCGCGAACCCCAATTCTTTCTTCTTTAGGCTGTTGGGGTGTTTGAGGTCCTACAAGACTTCTCGCTGTGGATGCTCCCAGCAATTCTCCAGCCGTGGCCCTAAATTCCAGGTGGCTTTTTGGAGCTTCAGGGCCAGACGGGCCTTCCTTCAATGTTCTTCCGTGATTTTTGTTGCTTCGTTCTCCGTGGCCCTCAGAGCAAAAAGAATGTTCGTGTGTCAACGGACAGCTGCTCGGGAGCCGGCGAGTTTCCCGTGCATGCCAATGTCTAGGAGCTTGCCCACCCTGGAAAGCCCTCAACACCCCTTAAGGAGCCCCAATTTAGCCTGTAAATAGACCTAAACCCTAAACCCGAAACCCTAAACCCTCAACCCTAAACCCCAAACCCTAAACCCCTGTGCCCTAAGGACGATTGGCCTGGTCGGCCCAGACATTGGGGCAGACTGTTGGGGAGTCGCCATGGCCAGGCCGCAACTTGAAATCGTAGAAGCCATCAACCCTAAACCCTAAACCCTAAACCCTAAGCCCCAAGCAAACCCTAAACCCTAAACCCTCAACCCTAAGCCCTAAACCTTAAACCCTAAACCCTAAACCCTCATCAGAAAGTCATCAGCTCAGCGGTTTCGGGTCTTGCGTTTATGGCTTGGGAACTATCATTTTTTGGTGCTTGGGTGTTGTAGGTTTTTTGGAGGGCTTCGGAGACGCTCTTTGCATGTAGGATCACGTAGCCTTGCGTTTTCGGGTTTAGGGCTGCTAGATGTTGCCCCTTGTCTTGTAGGTTTGCAGGGTGTGTAAGATCTCCGGTTTCTCCAGAATGTTCGCGGAGTGTCGCAAGTTAGCCTTCACTTGCTTGGAGTGGTTCTGCGTATAACATAGAGTGGTGCCCAACACAGACTGCACACGGGTTGCCGGAGGCATTCCAATGAGTTTCCGCTGCGTCCTGTCTGCATGTAGGCACAAAAGAGATGTTCGCCTTGTTGATGAAAGATCTGACACGACGTCGAGTCTTGAGACTTCAGTTGAAAGGTGTAGCAGTGAGCAGCGGCAATGGGCTTCTTTAATGTACTCTTCCTGTTGTAGCAGGGTGCCGGTTTTGCAACATATCTCTCGTGGTGACTCAGGTGCTCTGTCAACCTGCAGAGAACGTACGCCTCGCTCTTGCAAGTTGTTACGGACATGCTGGCCACGTACCCAAATAGGCAGCTTCGCCGCACCTGGTTGTTTTCTGGTTGGAGAACTTAGCAGCGCAAGAGCAGCAGCTACGTTCTAAAGAAGACTGCTCCTGCACACGTAGCCGGCACAAGCCGTGTGTGAGCTTCTAGTAGGTGTTGTGCAATGGGCCGAGGGTGCATACATCTTGTATGGGTCCTGCCCGAAATTAACCCACGTAACAAGGACCCCTTCAACCGAGTCCATCAGGTTTTATAAAAGCGAGACCCATCTTGCACAAGGCACGGACAGAACTCCGGCCTTAAAGATGCCTGCAACGTCCTTCAACCCGATGAAGCTGTAGAGCTCTCGTGCATGGCTCCCCAAGCACATAGGGAAGGTTCCGGGGATAAAACTTCAAGATAAGACTTACCCTGGTCATTCTGCTACCCTCTTGGGCTTGAAGCAGCTGTAGCACAGGACCTTTTACCTCACGGGACACTCCCTTGGCGGCGGGGTCGCGAAGCTGGTGGTCCGAAGCTCATGATGTGAACGTTTTCGTGGTTTTGCTCTCGGTTTGAGTCGGTGTTAAGTTGTAGTCTTGTGGCAGTACCTAAAAGCTTTGGGGACGAGAAGTTCGTGAGTTTTTCTAGCATTTCCAAGCTCGGCTGGGCGGTCACGAGGGGCACTCGCTCACTCCCACGGAAATGGGGCAATCGTCGAAGGCCCCCATAGGGGGGAACCAAAAAGGATGGATTCGACAAACTCCCTTGGAAGTGCGACACTACTGGGTGTGTCACGTGTTCAGCTACTCTGCTGAAGGCAGCGACAGCGGCGGTTTGCGGTATCCGCGAAATCTTGAGAAATCTTGCGAATGCGATGTTGCGCAGACCCGGGAACAGAAGAAGCTGCGTAGTGGCCTTGCGTTGCTGAAAAATGGGCCTGCAACGATCGAATAGTCTGCGATAGCCCCTCAGACTCTGAAGATGGCCCCAACCGAAAGCTGATCCTGGCGCGACTCCCAGGACCTGGAGCTCACTGTGCCTCTTGGCTGTCATTATCTGGGTATTGCTTTGGGAGAATTTTAAATTTTCCTTCTTTCCCTTTAAAGGGAACCTATTCATAAATACGTTTCAAAGGGCTTTAAAGCAACACCCAGTTCTTGTATGCCACAACGGGGAGGCTTCAGGCCTTTAGGTTGGGGGAGCCGACAGAACTTTCAAGAAGTATGAGTACATGTATTTGCTCCCCCCAACTACGTATATATTTATTACAAGCTGAACTAGCTCTCTCATTACGGTACAAGACGGTACAAACCAGCACACGTTGCAGCGATTTGTTTGACATGTAACCGTCCGTAATCTTGGATCTCGGATCGTCGAAAATGGCTTGATGCAAAACGGTACCAACCGGCACAGACCAAGATTTGCAGGGAGGTCTTCGAGGGAAATCTCGGAAACGCGAACTCGAGACATATACAAAATCAGAAAGATAATATGAAGCAAAATGCTGGAGACGGCAAAAAAAGCGCATGAGCAGAATCGGCAGAAAGAATAATCAGTAAGCCAAACAAGCGCAGATACTTTGGGGGTGGGGGGGGGGGGGGAGGCAACATATGTGCACACATGTAGATATTTTTGTATGTATATTATCTGCTAACTTTTTTTTTTACACACACATACATATACATATACATATACATATACATATACATATACATATACATATACATATACATATACATATATATATACATATATATATATTTATGTTTTACTTAGCGCAAGTAGAGGGGAGTTCTGCCCAACGAAGCTCTCTATGGAAGCAGTGCCAAATTTAAATGGCTTCATGAACTTGATAAACATAACGGGAGGTCAACCACATCTCACAAACTAAACGGTCATGTTGAGATGGCCGGGAATATTGGAGGAGAATGGCACAACCCTTCAAAATCCAGCGTTTGAGTTCCCCCGATCTCATGTTGTCCAAGCGGTTGCCGAAAATGTAGAATAAGGACCTGGCCTGACTCCCATAAAGCATTTTTTGTGTGAAGCACTTGGTCTCATGGGCTTCGTAGCCTTCACTGCAGTAGAACCACCGACTTTGGAAAAGGAAGGGCCGGCAGAACCGTGAACTTCTTGTACGGTCATATTATATCTTTGCGGTGTTTTTTTTTTTTTTTTTTTGTGTGTGGGGGGTGGGGGGTGGGTCTGAGCAGTTGCCAATATGGCACGTGTCTACAAGCAGTGCGGAAAACCACGAGGAAGGTAGCAAGAATAAACTGTACATGTGCATCTACCGCTCGGTCTGTCTCGGTCTCTGTCTCTGTCTGTCTCCGTCTCTGTCTCGCTCTATCCCTCGCTCGCTCGCTCTCTCTCTCGCTCTCTGTCTTGTCCCTTTGTAATATTGTTGTGCACATGCGCACACCTCGGCTACACTTCGGGAAGCCCCGTGTGGCGCTGAAATGCTCTCCCGCCCCCCTCCCCCTACAGGCCTTCCCCCGTTTGGGAAAAGGAGTCTGAAGGGTCCGCATGCATGAGCTGTGTGTTACTGTCAATTCAGTTTCCAGATACTGGTGGGTGCAGACCTGTTTCTCCACCAGCCCATTCCCCCGCCTGCCCATTAACCAGGGAATACTAGCGAATGAGAAAGACTTGACACAGCGAGCGCCAGGAGACGCCTGGCTAAGCGTCCGACGACCATCGCATTCTCTGCTCCAGGACGGATGTTTGTTCTGACTTGCTGAAAGGATGTGAGCCTACTGCAGGGCTCAGGTTTTCGAATTTCGTGGGAACAACCTTCAAAGTCTTCAAAAAGCGGTGGTTGGACTCTTTCAGCTGCAGGGACCCTCTCGGTAGTTCCTCCCTGTCTCTCCGTCTCGGGGGCTTCTGTTTCTCCAGTCTATCTCACGCCTTGTCGGCTTCCCTTCGTGCGCGAAAGGTCTGCTGCTGGCATCGCAAGTGCTCTATTCCGGCCATGTCAGCGGCCGGTTTGACAAGCTTGGCCATCCTTGCGTTGGGCAATCCTTGGGTTCTCCTAGGATAAGGGGAACCCTCAAAAAGGGATCCCTTCTTAAGCCTCTTCTTGCTCTCTTAAACAGGGACCTTATTCAGAGGGTCTATATCCTCAAGGGTCCCCTTAGTCCTATCCCCTGCGTTCAGGGTGTAGATGGTTGTGGGCCAGTGTAGGGTTTACAAAGATGTATAGGGTTTAGTAGTATTGACAAGTTAGATTGACGTGCGTCGAAAGTGTCCAGTGGAACCAGCATGCGGCACGACCCTAAACCGTAAACCCTAAACCCTAAACCCTAAACCCTAAACCCTAAACCCTAAACCCTAAACCCTAAACCCTAAATCCAAGGCTCGCTGCAAGAGTTTGGCAGCGCGCTCTCCAGCATCTCAATCAAGCCAAGTGGCGACATCGTTTCGTTTCCGAGCTTATGTTAACTGAAGGTTTAGGGTTTAGGGTGTAAGGTCAGAGCGCGTGGGGTCAAAAAAGGGTGTAAGGCTTAGGTTTAGGGTTTGGGGTTTAGGAGTTTAGGGTTTAGGGTTTAGGGTTCAGGGTTTAGGGTGTAGGGTTTAGGCTTTATGGTTTAGGGTTTAGTTTGCAAACAGTTTGCTCAGCATCCGAGACCTGGCCTTTGAGAGTATCAGCAGGCAGCAGAGGGCTTGTGTGTTGTGTTCTGTATCTGCCGCACGTTCCCAGGTCGGTGGACATTGAGCTGGGCAGCCGGATAGCAGCCCCTTGCACTGGCTTCGTACTTCAGCTGCGTCCAAGTTTGAGACGACTCCCAAATTCCACCCCGACGCCACCTTTTCACACGATGACGGATCATGATGGAATCGATTAGTACTGCTTTGTTCGACCCTCGAGGCATTGCAGTGCCCTGACCTCGGCATTCCCAGTGTACCAGGTCAGTTGGTTACGTGATCTGCAGCAGGCATGCTCAGGGACATGTGTAGGTTCGTGCAGTGTCGCACCCGCCATTCATGTGCCCAGGCACAAAGAGCAACAGACAACTCCGTCCGAACACGCCCCCGCAAGCACAACAGTGGGTTTGCACTGCCAAGGCCACAGCATCTACAGCACACTATGGCACATTTTCAGCCTGTGCACGCCTCAGTGCATCATGATTTTGTCATGGTCTTTTTTTCTTGCCCGGTCTGAGAAGTCGCACGGGCGCAAGAGATGACAAGGACGAGCTTCATCTGAGACTGCAGGTGCGGCTCTGCTGCCACGTCAGAGAATGTTTCGATACCCTGCAGCTGGCCCACCTTCGACTTCAGTTCCCGAATGGAATGGGAAAGGCCTGGGCTCTGTGCAGGTGCAGAAGGCAAGGTTGGAGAAGGCTTGTGCAAGAGAGTTGCGGCGTCTGAGACGACGTAGCAACGCAGCACGCAGCAGGACCATCGAGACTTATGTGACCAAGCGGAGCGAGTCAATCTGTGGCAGAAGCGACTATTGAGAGGGAAGAGGTTGATGCTGCGCGGAGATATCGAACAGGTGCAGAGTAGCTTCAGTGTCGAAGTTCTGTGAACCTTCTCGGACCTTAGAACCTTCTCGATGCATTGGCTGCCCTAACAGACCGGCATCACTTCGTCACCCGGCATAAGGCTAGTGACATTCTGGTAGTTCTTATTCTACAAGATTTCATGATTTTATACCTACACCGGCCAAGCTCCTAGCCCCATAAGCAACCCACACGAGCAGCCCTAAACCCACAAGGGAGCTTGCCTCGATGGCACATGGTTTCTATGGACCGTTAACGCACTGCGCTGGCGAACGGATGGGAGAGGCGACACCGAAGTTCCATCCACCAGTGAAACCCTAAACCCTAAACCCTAAACCCTAAACCCTAAACCCTAAACCCTAAACCCTAAACCCTAAACCCTAAACCCTAAACCCTAAACCGCAAGCTTAGGAGGCCAAGGCCTGAACCCAGACGTTGCACCACAAGGGGATGTGCATGGAACTTTGGGTGAGCTTCTTTCTGTCTTGTTGCCAAAGAAGGCGCCGCGACAAAAAGTGTGCGCAGTTTCCGATCGAAGCCATCTTGCACAGAGCTTGCCTGAACAAGGCTTAGCCTTGCTTCTGCCTGAACAAAGAGCTCTTTGTGTGCACATCGTTCCGCCGTTCGGCTGATCGGTGCAGAAGCGCACGTGCAGCGCTAGGCCATGGGTCGGTGGGCATGGGGCATTGGGGGTAGCAACGCGACATGAAGGGCTCATGACACAGCTCGCAGTAGAACTTCTGGTTTGGAGTTTTTGTAGTCTATAGCCAAGGCGCCGGTTCTAACTTTTAGGAATTCTTCAAGTGGAGTCTTTGCGAAGCTCAAAGTTCCACATGGAGCTGGAGGACCGTCTCCCCTGCATGCATGATGCTTGTTGTCTTGTTTGGCTGTTAAGAAAACATAGTGGTGCACGAGGAGAGATCAAAATCAATGTTAATGTCCAGCACGTTTAGCTAGCAAGATGTTGTCAAGCGATGCAGCGTTGCTTTGCAAAGATAATGGTACTTCTCAGACGTCCATATGCTAGAAGTTGCAGTAGACGCGGGTTATGTTGGGCTGGTGTCTTGCAGGTTGTGGGTCGCATACGCACATATGCAGGCGTGTATATGTACGTTACATGGTACACACAGTACGTGCATCATATTCTTCTCGCAGAGTACCAGGTTGTTCGTTCAGTGCATGGAACCTCGTATCTCTGCATAAGAGTTCTGATAGCACCTGGCTGAGCACGGCTTGTGGTCATGTCATGCTTTGCTTGTAAGTCCAAGATGCCATGTCTCGAGCATCTAATTAAGTCCTTCCTAACTTGGGGGTTTACGACAATAAGGGACTCCTAATTCATATAGACCCCCAAATAGTAGGATTCCCTGATAATGAGGACCCCAACCTTGTAGTAGAGTAGGTAGCCTTTAACCTTTTTGGTGCAATATAGTCCCCTTATAATCCCAAAGGTTATCCTTTAGTTCCCCCAGGTTACTGGACAACTAAGCCAATAAGGCACCCCCTAATTTCGGAAAACCCCCCTAATCTGTGCTCGTGAAGCATCCTGCCCAATACAAAAATCTCGGCCGCTCCAGGATGGGCTCGAAAAACGGAGCCTTGTCGTGGAAGGCGGCGATGAAGAGCAAATGGAGGCCTGAGACTTTTACCTGTTATCTCTCCACCACTTCTAACCCCCCCACCCCGAAATTCAAATCTCGCGCAATTAACATGACGATGACGCCAAACAACCTGTAAAGTGAAGGGACGACCTGAAAAGCGGCCCTTTCCATCAGGGGAACCTGACTGGGGTCCTTATTGTCGGGGAATCCTATTACTTGGGGTCTATATTGGGGCTCCCTTGTTTTTGGGCTCCCTTGATCCGCAACCATTTGCCGTGCCAAGGCTCACCCATTCCGTCTGTCGAGATCATGTCGATTCAGCTGGCGTTGCGGTTCTGCCCTCAACTGCGCTTGGCAGGGACAGGGCGCATTGGGTGTTGTTCCACTTTGAGGTGAACTATAAGCCAAGATAGAACCCTTTGCGCTCTCCTAGGCATCTTGCCCTAATGTATCCCCGGCCTCTGTATCCGGCATCGGACGTTGAAGAGTTTGCAGTTTAGAAGCCGCTGTTGCTGGGCAGAACGTCGTGACCTAGTTACCCTAAACCCTAATTAAGTCGAAGAATTACACAAGGCCCCCAGATTCCTCACCGCACCGACATCAGGCATCTCCGAGATCAGAAGCAGCAGAAACGGTGGTACGGCATAGAACAAAAATTACCATAATAACCCCACCAAAATCCCATTCCAACTATTGCGTCCCCTTATTCGACCGGGGATCGGCGCTTTGTTGCTTAGGTGCTGTGGTGAGCGCTGCGCTGATGCTGTGCGCGGTTTTTGCCCCCAGCAGTGGGGCAGCCCAGAATGGAAGGTTGCATGTTGTGCCCATTCCCAAAGCCTCGGGTTTAGGGTTTAGGGTTTAGGGTTTTATAGGGTTTTAGGGTTTTAGGGTTTTAGGGTTTAGGGTCCACCCTAGCCTAGAGCTGATTCCAAGCCGAGGTCTCAAGTCAACGCACTTCCTGGAAGGTCTGGCCACGTCTGGCTGCTTGAGTTGTCATGTGACATATCTGTCTCGCGGGTTCGTCCCCTTATTAGGATACTCTTATTAGGATACTCTTCGGCCATGGCTATGGGATTAATGCCCCTCTCCTGCGCCCACCCCCCCCCGCCCAAACACAAAAACCAAAGGCAACGACCCTAGTCTTATCGTGTCGAGACCGTCAACCACCCGCAGGCCTTCTTCCGGAGGGCGTTCGGAGCCTTGAAGTCGAGCTCGAGCACTCGAAGGACCTCTGGGAATCTCTGGGAATCTCTGGAAAACCCTGAAATTGCTGAGGCTTGGGAGCCTTAGGGGCCTCCCATAAGCACTCGTTCTCAGGCTCAGATGTGTAAGCCATACATTCTATTATTGGAGCATCCTGCCAGGGCTACAGATTTCGGATCCTTGGGGGCACACATGGCTTGGCATGTTCCCCCTGATGCAGCCCGTATACCAACAGTCCTTAATGGGGATTCTAAGTACTATGATGCCTATGAAGATGGCTGTTGTCCAGGAGCTGCCGTTGGTTGAGCTTGGCCACATCAGCCCCTCGAATCCATGGTGCACGCAAAATGCTGGAAATCTCAAGGGTCCTGTCAGTTCTCAATGTTGCCACTTGTTTTGGGGTGCCCTCGGCATGTTCAGGATTCAGGTTCGGGATTCTTCACGATTCGTTTTCAACGAGATGTGTGTGTGCACACTTTGTTGTTTTGGCCGCAGTCTAGCGATATGCTCTACTATTTGCTTCAGAACCGAAAAACACAACATACTCTTCCTTGTAAGGGTCACTTAGGCCTTTCTTCTTTGGGGGGGTTTCAATTTCTTAAGCAAATTGTAGTACTTGGTATGGGTTAAGCAGCGCTTGCTGCCATTGGCGCCTCACAGGTGTGGATGCCCACACACGGGCCCTGACCATCTACTTGTGACAGTGGTTGGACCCTAAACCTAAAGCCTAGCTCAACCCTTAAACCCTTAAACCCTACACCCTCAACCCTAAGCCCTGAACCTTAAACCCCAAACCCCAAATCCGAAACCCTGAGCCTGAACCCTAACCCTAAACGTGTGGCTTACCGAACGTGCTGGTTCGACCTGCAAGCGGTGGCGGGTACGGGACCAGGTGACTGTGTTTGGTGCCGTTCGCACACCCAAGCTCACACAGCTTGCTTCAACTGTCGTCTGATTTTAAGTCCAGAATAATCGCACTAATAATACTAATACTAATGCTAATGCGAATGCGAATGCGAATGCTAATGCTAATGCTAATAATACTCGTAACCATCATCATCATAATGAAAGGCAAGGCCGCGGGCAAGGTGCTCTGCGTTGTGGACGTCGCTGCTTGGCGCAAGACGCGCATGCCCATAAAAAAGCCAGATGTGTGGGGACCTGCGTCCATTCTGGCTCATCTGCGGTTCCCCTAAGTACCCTAAACCCTCTATACCCAAGAAGCCCCATCGCAACCCTTGAACCCTAAACCCTGATCCCGAGCTTGTCGCGGTGTGTTTCCTTTTCAGGTTCCTCGGGTTTCGCTAGGGTTCCCTCACTTGTTTGCCTTCACCCATACGACGGAAGATCCTTATTGGAGCTGCAAGTTGAAACCATCATGGCTTGGTTCTCATCCTGTAGGATTTCAACGATTCAGGGAGTCTGGGGACTTCCAGATGCTACACTGAAATACTGAGACTTCGCAAGGCGCAAAGTGTCGGCCGCATCTTGCTGCTTGGCAATTCCATTGCCGCCATCACCACCAACTGCGCGCCTCGCATGGCATCTTCTCTTCAGGGTTCAGGACTTAGCGCTACCAGGCTGGGCTCTTGTGATCAACTGAGGACTTCGCGCGCATCAGAAGAGTGAACAAGCGCCCGGTGACGAACGCCAGCGGCACAGCACTGGCATAGCTGATGCACAGCCATGAGGGGGTGCAGTGTCTGGAGATAAGCAGAAGCTCAAGCTACGCACGTCATTCGTCCAACCGTCCGAACTCTGGAGATGCCTCAGGATGAAAGGCAAAGATGTGCGATAACAATCATTGGTGCAGCTTGGCCGAGCGCGCAGAAGGACGGGAGGTACCCCTCGGACAGCTTCAGCTTGCGTTAACCGCAGGGAGGACGTAGAGGTCTCAAATTCCCCGGATCCGTGTACCAATTAAGATTTTTTCGAGGGGGCGTGAGTCGCTCGAGGTAAAGCGGGGTGTTATAGCATAGTGCTCTTTTTGCTCTTTTTTCCTTCATGACTGTACTCAGGCACTGGTGAACACTGCTCTCGGTTTGGGTGCTGCATCCTCCTCCGTGTCAACCTGCTCGGGGAGCCTGAACGTGCCCGCAAACTGCGTGCCTGGCCTGGAAGCTTGTGCACGGGAGCTAGGGAGTCAGGTTT